TTCTGAGACCTTCAAATGACAAAACCTAAAGTTCAATTAATTGTCCTTGCCTCCTTCAGAATACTTTTGTGACAAAAAAAATTCTCCATAACGTACTAATGGGTTCATCTATGTTTTATTGTCTGTAATATGTAGTAACAACATTTTGTTGAACCAATCACATCAGTATATTTCAGGAAAAAAATAACTTCTTAAATGACCAGGAAAAGTATAAATCACTCATGAAAAAGCATTCTGAGAGTATTGCATGGCAACACATAGTCCCCTACCGGTTAAAAATCATTGTACTGGAACAACTAACTTGATCTATAACTTGTCATGGTGTTAAACTATATAACGATTATCAAATCAATATCTTCAAGCATGATGTAAAACAATGTGGAAAACTGAATATTTGCGTGAATTTTCTAATTTGAGGACAATAACTCCTCAAATTAATCCTCATAACAGAACAAAATTCGAACTTGATCTGCAACTTGTCATGGTAAAATTATATACCGAATATCAAATCAATATCTTAAAGCATGATGAAAAAAAATGCAGAAAACTGATTACTTGCCTTAATTTTCTAAGTCCAAAGAACATAACTTTTCACAAAATCATCAGACCAGAACAAAAATTGAACTTGATCTGTAACTTGTCATGATAAAACTGTATACCAAATATCAAATCAATATCTTCAAGCACGAACAAAAAAAGTGTGGAAAACTGATTTGCCGGACTGATGGATGGACAGACAGACAGACAGACGGAGTGCAAACCTAAAGTCCCCTTCAACTTCGTCGGTAGGGGACTAATTATAGAAAAGCTAAATAACGGAAAAGAATCTTGTTGATTATTATGTGAGATGACTTCTTTTTCATTAACACATCTGTAAACAAAACTTCCTCAAACATAGAAAATTCTGTATAATTGATATAAAGATAATAGAAACCCTAAATCTGAGATGAACCTAAGCCTGTAGAATTTATTACTAGAAGAATAAAATTCTAAAATAATAAAGGTGGTCATCATCTTTTATCTACTACTCTGCAGTTTAAATTGCAAACTTAAGCAGTTTTGGTAATATTTTATGGTTAATCAAAAACATACATAATTAACAAAAATATGTGTCCATAAAACATTGCACCATTGTCACTTCATTCTTCATCTCATGAATTTATTATGCTGTATCATATTAATTTTCTGTTCTTTTCACCATTTCTAACAAGAGTGCACACGCTGAAATGTCTCGCCTTCTTTACTAATCATTGATATTATGTTGATAGTCCTAAATATAAAGCTTTATTACAACTGTCACATAAACTTAACATTAACCAAGTAAACTAAACATTGACCAATGAACCATGAAAATGAGGTCAAGGTCAGATGAACCATGCTAGGCAGGCATGTACAGCTAAAAATTCTTCCATACAACAAATATAGTTGACCTATTGCTTATAGTTTAAGAAAAACAGACCAAAACACAAAAACTTAACACTGAGCAATGAACCTTGAAAATGAGGTCAAGGTCAAATAAAACCTGCGTGACTGACATATAGATCATAAAATATTTCCATACACCAAATATAGTTGAACTATTGCATAAAGTATTAGAAAAAAAGACCAAAACTCAAAAACTTAACTTTGACCACTGAACCATGAAAATGAGGTCAAGGTCAGATGACACCTGCCAGCTAGACATGTAACCTTACAATCATTCCATACACCTAATATAGTAGACCTATTGCATACAGTATAAGAAAAACAGTCCAAAACACAAAAACTTAACTATAACCACTGAACCATGAAAATGAGGTCAAGGTCAGATGACACCTGCCAGTTGGACATGTACACCTTACAGTCCTTCCATACACCGAATATACTAGACCTATTGCTTATAGTATCTGAGATATGGACTTGACCACCAAAACTTAACCTTGTTCACTGATCCATGAAATGAGGTCGAGGTCAACTGTCAGAGAAAACTGTCTGATGGCATGAGGACCTTGCAAGGTACGCACATACCAAATATAGTTATCCTATTATTTATAATAAGAGAGAATTTAACATTACAAAAAATCTTAACTTTTTTTTCAAGTAGTCACTGAACCATGAAGATGAGGTCAATGACATTGGACATGTGACTGACGGAAACTTCGTAACACGAGGCATCCATATACAAAGTATGAAGCATCCAGATCTTCCACCTTCTAAAATATAAAGCTTTTAAGAAGTTAGCTAACACGCCTCCGCCAGATCACTATCCCTATGTCGAGCTTTCTGCGACAAAAGTCTCAGGCTCGACAAAAATTGGAGCGAGCAAGCCATTTTTTCATCAAATATTTTTTGTTTCTATAATGTTGACAAATAAGTCATGAGCAGGTGAATATAAACAATACAACATATTTGAAAATATTCTTTACTTAATTGTCTGCAGAGCAATATCTCTTTTAAATGAAATTTAATTCCAGATTCATTAAGACCCCAAATGAAAATTATAAAAAACCAAAAAAACAAAACATAAACAGAGCTAGAAAAATGAATGAATGAAATAATTTTGAAATTTAAACAAATTTAAGGAGCAAGTGAGTCTGAAGAACAAATCTAGAGACTTAGATCTAATGAGCCTGTGTTGCTCACCTGCATCTTCAACAATGGTCACTCTTTAGTAAAAATCATCAGTAAAGGGGAATAATTCTATAAAGAGTTAACTGCCAATTTCAGTCATGATGACATAGTTGTAGATCTTATCCTGTTGTTCCTTTTTAATATTTCTATTTATCTATTATAGTTTTCAAGATAATAGGCCAAAAATGCAAAAAAATGGTAAAATTTATCATGAAAGGGCAATAAATACAAAACCAAGTAGACTGAAGATTTCTGCCATATTGGCTTATTTGTAGATCTTCTCTTGCTGTTTGTTTTTGCTTTTTAAAGTTTCGATCAAATTAATACAGTTTTCTGTATAACAGGCAAAAATACAAAAAATGGGAAAGAAATGGCCATTAAGGGCAATAACTTCAATAAGGAGTCGACTAACTATTTCGTTCATGTTGACTTATTTGTAAATCATGTCTTGCTGATCATTTTTACTATTTAAAGTTTCTGTCTATCTATTATAGTTTTCAAGATAATAGGCAAAAAAGCAAAAACTTGGTAAAATTTGTTGTTTAAGGGAAAAACTCTCGAAAGAAGTCGTCTTGACAGTTTTGATGTCAAAGTCAATAGGTAGATCTTGTCATTCTGAACATTTTTGCCACTGTCAAATTTCTCTACCTATAGCGGTTTTATAGACAAAAAAATGCATTTTACCCCTGTGTTCTATTTTTAGTCATGTCGACTGATTATTTATCGTCAGGCAGGGTCATCATGGTCATGGGACACATTTTTAAAACTAGATACCCCATTGATGATTGTGGCTCATTTTGGTTGAATTTGGACCTGTGGTTTCAGAGAAAATGATGTTTGTAAAATTTAACAGAACCAACGACAGACGGCAAGTGAGGCTAGGAAAAAATTATTGTTGGCTTCCCCTAACATTGGAAAATTTTCACGCCCGGCAGGCAGGAGTGTGTATCAAATAGTGTTGCCATAGACTGCATGTAGAACAAATATTTATTTACCGTTAAAAGGCTTGTATAGTCCGCAGTTTTATTTTCCAAAATTGAACCTGCCAGACAGGAGTGTGGACTATAGAGTACAATAAGCAAGAAATGAGAGAAAAAATTCAATATAGCGAGGTGGTTTGTTTACGTTCCGCCATGTTTGTTATTGATATTGTAGAGGGCGCTCTTATCATTTTCAAAACTAATAATTTTACCTAATTAATATTAATAAGTTATTTTTATTCAATATCAAATTAATACTGATAAATTTAAAAATTAAATGCTTCATTACAAATTTCTCGTTTCTTTTCACTGCATTGCTTAAAATAAACTGGAATCTGCTTGAATGAAATGGAACAAAAAAAAAGTATAAGTCAACCGTAAACCAGCTTACGATGTAAATTACGAAACGTTATCGGTTATTATTCATTCCGTTTTGGTTTTCATACTGACGAATATGTTTTGTATTAACTTAAGACCCTTCAAACATTAATGTAATAGATATATTAAACATTTTTTTACACAAGGATGGAACTGTTTTACTTTCAAAGTTGTATTATAGTGATATCTATTAAGTACGGATTTCGACTCTCACCGTTTTAATTTTCTTTTACACATGCTATTCAAACTTCCGGTTTAAACATACACAAGCTTCTAAATTGTTTTTTGGATGATTTTGACTTATTTTAACAATTGTGAAGTGTTCTAGAATCATTTACAAGCAGTTTCAACTTCTGTTTGATGATGGAAAACATGTTTTTTCATGAAAATACCGTAAACGACCACACACGATTTGAAATTCCCAGAGTTCATTAGACATTTTCTAACAGTTACAAAAAGTTTTTTTACCTGAAATTTCTTGGGTAGAAAGGGGTGTGGACAATGTACCAATGCGAACTATACAAGCCTGATTACGGTACTTGACAACTGGTGCCGAGTTGGCCATTTTGGGGGATCTAAATAACAGTGGAGCGAAACACTTTAAACCATTGTTATCTTTCTGATCAGTTAAGCGCTTCGGTGATCTAGAAACCAAGGTGGGAAAAAATTCCCTTGACATTGTTATGCTTCTAAACAACAAGACTGAAACATATATGAAAAAAACATTGCTGGATCGGAACAAGACACAGCTGTCTTTTTTTCTTTTTCGTTTAGTCGAAAAAAATAAAAAACCCGGCGGTTTAAAATAGACCTGATGGGGTTAGAGGAAACCAACAATCATTTTTCCCTGGCCTGATAGCAAAAGCTCACACTGGCCCTTTGGGCAAATATTAACCACATTTAAAAGCTAAAATCTATGAAAAACTCTAAATAAAACATCCCTCATTCAAACACAGGATACTATTCTAAATGAACATGGACTTTAAGGGGTAGGATCAAAAATAGATATAAAGACAATTTTGCACCAAATACCTGTTATGATCAGGTCCAACCATATTATACTTATAGTCTGCCTGGATTTTGTTCTGTTGAAGCCACTGATGTAAACGACTCTTAGAATTCTCTAAAGTCCAGTTGCCATGGATATCAGCATTGAAATCTACATCTTCTGACTGTTAAATAAAAATATACATTATTCTACATTAAATATATCTTATTGAATATTCACAAATGATGTTTCTAAATGGGAATACACATTTGTGAACATGACTTGGAGGAAACATTGCATATCATGAGGAAGTCATGTAACTGTTAAAACAGCATTCATTTGTATAGGATAAAAACGGGATATATACTTTCCAAAATGTAATAATAACGTAAAATCTTATTGATATGCATAATTTTGCATCAGCATGTTTTAAAATAATATTTTGTCTTTTTGTTATAAAACTGTAGATTTAAAAAATCTTTAGTATTACTGCTTTACATTTTTCCTTTACAACTCTAGGCATGAGACTTTGACCTTTTGGAACACATATTGACCATACATTTGAAGTCCCTTAGATGAATTTATTCATTCCAACTGAGCAACAGATGAAAATTTCAACTTTTTAAACAAAATTATCATTTATCTGACTAGTTTAATAAACACAAAAGAATGTAATTATAATTTTTATGCTTGTGTGGCTGATTTAAGCTTTTAGAATTTTCTCTGATTTTCTTATGAAAAACAGATATTTTGAACCATCAAAAAGGTATGGCAAGATTACTTTAATTGCTGAGCTCCTGCTTGAAATTAACTACAACCTTTTTTTTTGCAATAGGCTGATTTTTTTCAACAGTTGTACAGTTTAAATGAATGAATACAAACAGACACTTGAAATAGAAAATTTGTCCACTGGTATGCTAGAATGCAAAAGACTATTGCATTGGTATATACAAATATTTAAACTAAAAGAGTTGAAGTCATCTTATTTCTAATTTTTGAATGCATCATGCCTGATGTTGAGAACACTGGTCATGCTGAATATAATTTTAAAGTATTTTCTTAAAAACAAAAAATGGTTGTGTCACCTGTCCTCTCCAAATAATATAAGCAGAAACAGAAGAAGTCCATGTTCTGATACAGAAAACCCAACTAATCACACATCAAAAATTAAAACAGCAGGTACACACCTGCATGTCCTGTAGAAGAATATGTTGATAGCTTAATTGAATTCTGTCAAGCTATTTAGAAGGAATTGTGGATTAACAAACTGATAAAAGTAGAAATAGCTAAGTAAATATTTTGGTATATAGGTCAAACTCCCATAAATCTCTCAGATCAAAAATTAAAATAGCAGCTGCACAACTTCATGTCCTGTAAAAGAATTGTTTGAAGTTTGGTTGAATTTTGTCATGGTGTTTTTAAGGAGTTGCCAATTAACAAAGTGTGACACTGACAACAATGCAAACGACAGAAGCGATCCCTACAAAATGTATGTGTCACTCAAGCTGGATGCTGTCAGGAGACGCACAAATAATATTAAAATTACTTCTTCCAGTTTTCTTTTCTCTGCCATTCTTTCCATATAACTGAGAGGAGGACCTCTTTCATATGGTGGAAACTCTCTTGACATGGGCTGTTCTTCTCTCTGGCCACCAAAGTTACCCCCACCTAAAATCAGACACAATAAACTTGAGGCTTCTGGGAGCCTGTATTACTCACATGGCAATTCTACCTTTTAATTGAGTTTTGCCTTGCAATTTCAGATTTTTTATTTTTCAATAAAGTTCTAAGATTGTCTTTATCCAAATCAAATGCAGGCCTTTTAAAGAAGACGTTTACACATTATTCCTTTTTGCTACATAGTTTCAGAATAAGGTTTTAATTGGACCTATAGGCCACCTATGGCACTGTGTTTGTGACATGTCATTTTGTCAACATTAAATCTTGATAATCTTCCAATCATTAGCCTTCTTTTGATATTTTGAAATTTAAAAGAATCTTCCCTGTATTATTTCTGCCAAATCACCAAATTTGCATGGTGATTTAAAATTGTCACATTTTGTTTTTTAGGTGCCTTTTATAGCATACTACATGTATATATGTAACACTCAGAAACGTGTCCATCCCCCAAAGCTCAATAGCCTTCTTTTGATATTGTGAAATTTAAAAGAATCTTCCCTGTATTACTTCTGCGAAATCACCAAATTTGCATGGTGATTTAAAATTGTCACATTTTGTTTTTTAGGTGCCTTTTATAGCATACTACATGTATATATGTAACACTCAGAAATGTGTCCATCCCCCAAACGTGTCCATATAACGTCACTGAACAGCAAAACATGTCTAGTTGCTAAAGGGCGCCAAAACGTGTCCTTTTTAAGAACGCCCAAACGTGTCTAGTGTTCACCCCCAAGTGTGACTGGAGAATAGAAATATGGTCACTTAGGTCTTCTTCCGATCTACAGTAAAACCCATGCCAAAGGTGGGCGTCCGTTTGGCTGTGCGGAATGTAAAAGTATGTAACCCAGAATGGAAATGTTAAGTCTAAAACCTCGTGTAGGGAGAGTGCCTTTATTATAGACCTTCATGTACCTATTGTATTTATTGGTAATATGTTCTCGTCCTGAACATGCATGGAATAATTGCCACAAAACGTGATGCAAGCAACAATCAGTTAATCCATTATTTTCTGTTAGTTGATTATTACCTCTTTCAAAATTGATTTAACATACTTGTGCGACAGTTAAAAAGAAGCTGCACATTTAAAATGACTTGCATTCACATCTTGGAATTTACGCATACGGTTTTTTAATGTATTTTAACGATACCTTTGGGTAATTAATGATTATGAATTATAAGGTTGGTATCAGGGATGCTAATGATACATTAAAAACTTAATACCAGTACATACTTTGAAGAGCTGATAGAAAATCCGTGGAATATTAATTTGCATGTAATTAGACATCACCGAAGTATATTAGTACAAAAGCATTCACTTAGAAAACCATAAATTTAACTGTCCAAAACTAATTAGTTGCAATATTTATGTCCGCTCTAAATATGCATGAAACATTTGCCACTGTACATTAAGCAATCAACAGTCAAGAGTTAATTTATATGTTGCAAATCAAACTTGCAGTTATGCTAAATATAAATAACCGGCGTTGAACAAACGAATGCTAATGAAAGTTCTTCTTTCAACTACGTTACTTTTTTAATTTCCGGTAATTGTGCCCAAAACACAGCATTTATGTCCTTTGATAGCGACTTAAATCTTTTTTTATAATCGAACCGAAACCTGACATCTTCAATTATTATTGAATTGCCGTAAATGTTATTGACGTCACTGTGGATATAATAGTGCTGAAAGTTTTGAGACGTTCAGGCGTTTTAAAAGTGGACATGTTTTGGCGAATAACAATTATCGGACACGTTTGGGGTGTGTGAAATCAGACATGTTTGGGCGATTTGGGATTTTAAGGACACATGGGCGAAATAGACACTTTTGGGGGGATCGGACAGGTTTGAGGGGATGGACACGTTTGCGAGTATTACATATACACTATAAAGTATGGGTTTTGCTGATTGCTTATGGCAATATGGTGACTTGTAATTGTTCACATCTTTGTCCTTTGGTCTTAAATGGATACATTATTGGCAATCATACCACATCTTCTTATTTCATATCAATTCATACATGTACACAGTCTAAATAAAACTGCTAAGTGCTCAATGAGAACATGACGAACATGTCAAAAAAAATTTCAAGTTGTAAAATTGCTAAAATAAAGTTACTATTCTGACATCGGACTCAGACTTCTCTTAAACTGAGTTTTACTGTGCCTACTGTTGTACGTTTGTTTTTTCTACATTGGCTAGAGGTATAGGGGGAGGGTTGAGATATCAAAAAACATGTTTAACCCCGCCGCATTTTTGCGCCTGTCCCAAGTCAGGAGCCTCTGGCCTTTGTTAGTCTTGTATCATTTTTAATTTTAGTTTCTTGTGTATAATTTGGAGTTGAGTATGACGTCCATTATCACTGAACTAGTATACATATTTGTTTAGAGGCCAGCTGAAGGACACCTCCGGGTGCGTGAGTTTCTCGCTGCATTGAAGACCCATTGGTGGCCTTCGGCTGTTGACTGCTCTATGGTCGGGTTGTTGTCTCTTTGACACATTCCCCATTTCCATTCTCAATTTTACTTATAGGTTATTTATGGTTTTGAAAATGAGACAGAGTTTCTCATCGAAAGGCTATAGTCCTGAGATGAGATGTAGCCAAGAAACTTCCTAGGGTTGAAAGACAATACACCTTATCGCTATTTGTCTGCCATTACTGGACATCAAAAAGGTTCCCGTAAAATTTTGACGTCACAATAGAAAATATCTGACGCCACAATGGAAAAGTGATTGTTGAATGACGTCAATAGTTCAAGAGGCTCAGATTCTCAGGTCTCAGGGATGATTCCAGGTGTTTTCAAATGGGTCCCTTAACTATCAAATTTGGGAATTTTTATCCCAATTGGGAACTTTTTACGAATAAAATCTTAGACGAAATAGCATTATTTCCTATAAAAACGGAAAATGTATTAAGTTTTACCTGTACACTGCTGTATGAAGTTGTAACATTTGGAATAATCCTGGCCAGGCTATTTGTTATGATATACATATGATTACCAGATCACTTGACATTTAGTGGATTGAGACCAAGGAAGTTATTACATGAAAATCATTGCACATGATGCACTATCTTTTGAAGGTATGCATCTTAGTTAGGTGTTACCTTTTATATATTAAGCAGCTAAGATATATCACAGAAAAAAATCATCCATTGGGTGTTTTTTTTCAACAACAGGTCATCTTTATAAATTTACCTTGATGTAAATGGATTTCAAATTGAAATGTACAACTGCTGAATTCAGCAGAAAAGTAATTACAAAAGTTTTAGTACTTAATTGATAAGATATTTTTTTTGTGATTTTTGCTTGCTGTTTAATATGTAGAAGGTGGCCATAGTTTTACTCTGGGACTATTACACTAATGTCACAGTTTTACTTTAGGTGTAACTCTAAGAAACAGGAAATTTAAGCATTGAACCATTGTATTATAATATTATTTGGATCATCTTCACAACTTTTGAAACAGTTCCATAATGTGTCGACATCCTATTTCATGAATAATCTATCAACATGTAATTTCAAAAAAAGTTCAGACAGTCAGACTTTTGTCTTGAGGAAATAGAGCCAGAAAAAATATCAACTAAAAAACGTTTCCATCATATTATATAACCGGCTCTGCTTGGCGATCTGCTTTTACGAGATCGGCGCCCATTAAATTCATCAATGTTACATCAAAATTTTAAATTTTGTCAAGGTCTGCTTTTACGAGACCCATTTCGACAAAAATCATCTTTTTTATTGACCTGCTTGGTGATCTGCTTTTACGATAGTCCAAATAATTATGACGTCTTGAAAGCCTATTTAATTGTTTTTGCTGTCGTAGTAAGGCGTCACAGCAAAAACATGAAATTGACCTTTCAAGACGCAATAATTATTTAGATTACTTTTACGAGATCAAATACTCCCATATCGTATTTTTGTCAATTGAATAGGAGGGGTCTTATTCTGCTGCATGTTTACCACATGTTGAAATAATTGAAACATTGTTAGTAAAATGTGATTGTTGACAGCATTCTTATATAATATTTCAAAACACTTTGAAGACAAAATTAGAAAATTATAGTTGCCTAAATCGGCGACAGAAACATTTCCGGAAATATCGAATTTTATTTCTTTTCCTGAATTGGGAATTTATGTTTGCATAATTTTTTTTGGGGCTGCCAGCTGACTTTAGGGCCGCTAAGCGGCCCTAAATTATATAGTAGAATCATCCCTGCGTCTAGCGGCACAGATTTCAAATAGCGATAAGGTGTATAGATAATATGTTTATGGTTATTTTCTTGGCAAAGTCAATAACATTGCCATATGACATCATTGTTTTCTCAATCTACACTACTGAGAAAACCATTCTCAGTGGCATAGCTTGATATGGAAAATGATCAAAGCAAGAAAAAGGCAAAGCTGTTGAATTTGGCACAGATTCTAGCAGTCTAGGAAATTGAGATATTTCTAGATTGGATATGAATGGGGGGAGATAGTGTATTACAATCGTACTCAAGAACAAGTAACTGTATACATGTATCATTTGTGAAAAAAAACATTAATCAGTGAATATTTAACAAAATGAATAATTTTCTTAACAAAGTTTATATAGATCTACAATGTACACCTTTTTCCCTTTACCATGTTTACTTGACTAACTGTATTTTTTCATCAAATAATTACCTAGTCCTAAAGCTTGATGTGGAGCTAGACCACCTGGTAATCCACTAAATCCAACATCGCTACTAGCTTCACTTGGACCAGGCCTAGGTTCCATCATTTCTGATTGTAACTAGAACATCAATGAAAAAACCAATGCAAATAATCAATGAAAAATAGAAAATTTCTGACGGGTGAACATCATTGAGTTCTACAATTAAACATACAGATTACATTTATTTCCAGTCTGATTCAATGTTCTCGTGAGGGGCAACTACATTAAACATTTCTACTTTGTGATGGAATAAAAGGTTCTTAATTTAAAAGTCTTTATCTAATCAGAGTATTTTTAATGTCTATAAGAACAACTTCATAACCAGCAGCAAAGAAAGCCAAGTGAAGGAATTTACAGAATTATTGTATGATGAGGATGAGAATACACTTAAGTACAAAGATTTGGATGCAAGGGGTGCTTCCATAATCCCCTTAATGTTGTAGACAACATAAAGTAAACTTACCCCTGTTGAAGGAACTTCTGATTGTTGTACCAGGCCTTGACGAACCAAAAACTGAACAAAGTCCTTGGCACAGTTAGCTTGTGCATCTTTCTTATTTGTAGAGTTACCTACACCCATATAATCAAATCCTTCAACTCTGACCTACAATATTCATATGTATATAAAGAGAATATCTTCAAATTGATGCTACACATTTAATTACAGGATACAGAAATTTCAAACATATAATTAAAACAAAGTATTTCAATGAAGGGTGAAATGCAGGTGACTGTGTGCTACAATGTAGGCATATACCCTATAGCGGGTTATAAATAAGATGTCATATGAGAACAAATTATCTTACAATAACAATAGACACGTTTGTCAATTTTTTCCACTTTTTAACTGCAACCATTTCAGTATCCGCCAAAATATTTAGTTGGGAAGTAAAAAACGCCAAAAGTTTTCGAATACTTTGTTGCCACTGAATCGTGAAATTTTACACCTGCGAAAAAAGCGCTTTTCAGTATTCCCCTAGATGCTGCTTAAACCAAATTATGATTACCCCATGCCTTTAAAGCATAGAATGTACACATGTAAGTCAAAAAGATCTAATTTTTGTGGGAGGCTGTTATATTTCTGGACTCATCCTTACACAAAGTATAAGCTTACAAGTATTTTACTTTGCAATTCAAAATTTTAAAGTCAGTGAAATGTGTCAATTGACATTTTTCTTATTATAAATCATGTGAGTTAGGTTAGTCTTTCACATGAGAAAGTAAGCAATCAGTGGCTGACAATAGACTGTGGATGCACAATGTAAATGCAAACACAGATGCCATAGGCACTCAATAAACAAAAAAAAAGTATTACCTATTTCCATTTTGCAAAGAATTTTATATTATAACAACAGTTTTAAGATGTTTTAACTAGTAATTGAAGAAGTTATTTAAAGGAGGTCACCTATCAAGAAGAAGTGAAACAGCAGTTCAAGCTGGAGGGAATCTACCCTTAAAAACTAGAGGTTCTAAAGAGCCTGAGTGGTTAACCTGGATCTCTGTGCATCTTCAACAATGGCCACTCTTCAATATTATAGACTAGAATCTACTTTTGGTTGATCATGTTCTGCTGATCAGTTTTACTGTTTACATTTTCTCTCTTTTTATAATTTTCAAGATAATAGACAATAAAAAGCTGCGCCATGCTTTTTCAAAGAATAAAGTTCAATAACTTCTCAATATCATTTCAGAAATTTATGAAAAACTAAAGGGAGGTTATCTTAATAGATATAAACCAGTAACCAAAGTTTCATGAAAACTGCTCAAAGCACTTTAAAGATATTGTCTGAAAACTGGAAAATCATCCCTTTTTTATGAATAAAATCGCCTAACTCGGAAACGTAAAATCTGAAATTTATAAAAATAGAAAGGGAGCTTACATCAATAGATATAAACAATTCACCAAAGTTTCATAAAACTGCTGAAAGCTTTTATGAGTTATTGTCCGAAAACTGGAAAATCCCCCTTTTTTAATGAATAAGACTCCATAACTCGGAAACGTAAAATCTAAAATTTATAAAAAACGAAAAGGAGCTCGCGTCAATAGATATAAACAATTCACCAAAGTTTCATGCAAATTGGTTAAAGTGTTTTTGAATTATTGTCTGACATGTTGATGACAGACAGACGGATGGACGGACAATGGTATACCATAATACGTCCCGTAAACGGGCGTATAAAAAAAATAGGTAAACTTTGTCATCAAAGGGCAATAACTCCTACATGAAGTTTGTCTGACAGTTTTGATGTAAATGCACAGAAGTAAGATCTCAACATTTCTGCCCCTGTCAGATTTTCTCTATCTATAGTGGTTTTCAAGATGAAAAGGCAAACCTTATGTTCTATCTTTAGCCATATAGGCCATATTTGTTGGCATACAAGGTTTTCAAACACATTTTTTAACTAGATACCCCAATGATCATGATAATGATTGTGGCCAATTTGTCTTTATTTGAACAGCATTTCAGAGATGATATTTTTGTAAAACTTAATGGAGGAGGGACACTTAAAGTGATGAGAATAGCTCACCTGACTATGGGTCAGGGGAGCTAGGAAAGGATCTGTAATGTTTTACATGCATTAATGAATTCCAAAATAATGACATACCTCACATTTAAACCTTGGTTTATGTTTTGATCCTGTCTGGCCAAACTCATAACATGGTGTGACCTTTCTTTTCCCACACCAAGCATATAAAAACTGTTTAACGTCACCCATCTACAAAAAGTAAAATAAATCATAGATCTATGAAAAATACCATTGTTCATCATATTAATCGTAATTAATGTATTCCCTATCAAATTACTAGATTAAATAAATCCTATATATTTGCAAACAAATTGTTTGTTCACACCACCTTTTTTAAAGACTCAAATAGACATATATCCTTCAAGCTGATTCTTTGTCAGATACCAATCTCTCACCACTGCATGGCACTGTATTTGTTGTTAGTGTAGTCAGGAGCATGCAACTCAGTAACCCTTAGACAGTACATGTACAATATATGTGCATAACTCACTCGTTCTTCAAGTCTGATAATTTTGTTCCTCCTGTATTTACAATGTAAGTCTTCATTTGATTATAATTACATTAGATGTATGTTTCATTATTATACGTTATTTTGATTGGCTAACAGCAATCTCGCGTCATTCTTCATTTCAAAATGAATTGCGTGAATTGAAACATACATGATGACACACGTTTCCACAATAAAGTGCACAGGTAAATAAAAGAAAAACTTGATAGTAATCGTGTTTTCATGATCATAGCAAAAAAATGTAATTATAAGTAATGAATGCTTCTTTTAGTAATTTCATAGGGTTGTAAAAGCGTTGACCGTGCGTACATTTTTAGAATGAAGCGCTTCCGCGCTTCATACAAAATGTACTTCGGTCAACGCTTTTACACCCCAATGAATTTACAAAAAGAAGCATTTTACACCCCAATGAATTTACAAAAAGAAGCATTCAGTTCTTAAATGTAAGGTAATTTGGTTGTCATAAAAGTCCCTTCATTTAACGTTATGTCGATGAATAGACGTATTTACACTTGTATGCAAATTTGTCCGCCATTACGTAAAAATCACACAGGTTCCCGTAAACTTTGACATCATAATTCAAAACATTTGACGTCACAATTAAAAAGTGATTGTTGTCTGACGTCAAAAGGTGATTCGGAGTAGATCTAAGGTCATTCGGAGGCAAAATATAGCTAAATACCAAAAGTGTAAATACGTTTATTGGACGGACTTACCAAACAAATATTATTACCGGACTATAAAGTAGCACGTTTCAGGAATAGATGTATTTTATTTACACCTGCCATTAGTAATGATTACTTCAAATCACACAAGTTCCGGCAAAATTGGGCATTACAATTTAACTCATAATTAATAAATTGCATGGTTAAAGCATTTTTGAGTTATTGTCCTACATGTTGACAACAGACAGACAGACAACAGTAGACCCTGATACTTCCTGTATATGGGCATATAAAAAGTGATTGTTGCATGACCTCAGATGGTTATTTAGACTGATAATCTAGCTAGGGTCATTCAGAGCATTATTCAGCTAACCAAAAGTGTAAAATATAGATACATTATTAGCAGATTTACCTTTGCCAGGTTAGCCTACATGTTCACATGCTTTATGTAAAGATAAGTAAACTATGATATTCTTGGATAATTTATGATTATACTTGTGTATTAAATTAGGTGGAACTGTTGGGTCGAATTGCAAGTTGGGGAAACCACTTTCTTCTGCAAACGTATTCGTAAAACTGTTTGTAACAGTCACCCCTCTCGGCATTTATATATATACAAAAAACACTGCTGCTGAAGACCACATATTTTAACAATGTTAAATGACCATAGAAGGCCTTCATCAGCTGTAAAGCAATTTCATTTGGCAGTACCTTCTTTACGGGGACGTCTGAAATTAACAGCACCACTCATAAAGCAGATCTACATCCTTTCGACCCTAATTCCTTTCGCCATTATATTCGAGCCGAATTGTCGACCCATATCAGCTCTTTGGACTAATTTGGATATGAGTGCTCAATAATAATAATAATAATAATAATAATAATAATAATAATAATAATAATAATAATAATAATAATAAAAAAAAGAATATTATTATTATGTCTGACATCATTATTTAAAATTGGAACTTGAATACCAGTCAACCATTACTGACAAAAACTTGATACAGTGAAAAATCAGATGAAGGTGAACTTGTTTCTCAATCAAAAGTTTTTGTAAAGAGAAATATTTGGAACTAAAAGATTTTAAACATGTGCTCGTGGATAAAATATACTCTAGATAGTGAACCTTGGGAACCGACAAGTAGTGCATTTGCTTGCGTAATAATACATTATAACTGAGCCCTAGGGGAATCCTTCTCAACATTATATCTGGTATATTAATGATGCCAAAGGGGAATCATTATCCAAATATTAAAGCAAGAGTTTCAAGTGGTGAAATGAAATCATCCCTTTAAAAATTTTACGGACGCCATCATGAGTTGGTTGACCGTTATGGAATATATGTTGCAAGTATGACGACGGATATATGTTCCAATAGTCGTCCCAACAATCCCGTCCTCTTTTCCTCAATTGTGACCTACCGAATTAGACTTATCACCAAGTTTGTACTTACATGAGCAACACGACGGTAGCAATATGTAGAGCAAGATCTGCTTACCCTTCCGAACTTAGAACCTGCATATATCAGCCCAAGTTTTGTTGAAAAGATGTTCGTGTTGCTCTTGCTTTACTTTTAAGTGTTGTTCTTAGAACTTTTTAATTTTTCTATTTCTGTGTTGTTTATACCGATAAAAGTCTTGCCCTATCATTTGTCATGAAAAAGGTTTCAATTTAATAATTCACACTCGGTCAAGTTTCGGGTTACAAAAACATGATCGATGGTTTATGAATTTGGTGATGTCTTAGGGTAAGAGAAGAGTCGAATACCTATCAGCTATTGCGTGATGCCTACTCACTTGATATAGCTGATCAACGTATTCTATAGGAGTAACACGACGGGTGTCATATGTGGAACAGGATCTGCTTACCTTTCTGGAGCATGGTTATCAACATAATATCTTTATATAATGATGCTCAAGGAAAATAACTTTACATAATCTTTATATTAATGACGGCCAAGGGTAATCTCTTTTCAATAATTCCTCTATATAATTATGACCATATCCCTTGGTCATAATTATATAGAGGAATTATTTACATTGTGTGTGTATGCATAAAATGATGCATAAGAGAAAGTATTTTCATGATACCTTAAGAAAATCTCACATTACATAATGTCTTCATGTGATCATGCACCAAGGGGAATCCCTAAGCATATCTATAAAATATGATGCCCAAAGTGATTTCTCAAAATGTAATGTTTGTATAAAAAATAATGCCCAAGGAGAATATCTCTTTTTCTAATGATGCCCAAGGGGAATATTTCTTAACATACTGTCTGTTTATAATGATGCCCTGGAGGAATCTCTGTTTCTAATGATTCATATTGGAATATATAATATATAATGTCAGTTTAGAATGATGCCCAAGCGGATTCCCGAATCTCTTTTTTTTTAATGATGCCCAAGGGGAATCTCTATTTCTAATGATGCCAAAGGGGATGATCTCTTTTTATGAAGCCCAAAGGGGAACATATCTTTACATAATGTCTGCTTATAATGATGCCCAAAGGAAATTTCTCTTTTTCTAATGATGCCCAAGGGGGATATCTCTTACATAATGTCTGTTTATAATGATGCCCAAGGGGAATATATCTTAACATTATAGATATAAGAAGATGTGGTATGAGTGCCAATGAGATAACTCTCCATCCAAGTCACAATTTGTAAAAGTAAACCATTATAGGTCAAAGTACGACCTTCAGCACGGAGCCTTGACTCACACCGAACAGCAAGCTATAAAAGGCCCCAAAAATTACTATAGTGTAAAACCATTCAAACAGGAAAACCAACGGTCTTATCTATAAAAAAAAACAAACGAGAAACGAGAAACACTTATTAACTACATCAACAAACGACCACCACTGAACATCAGGTTCCTGACTAAGGACATGTGCAAACAAATGCAGCGGGTTTAAACGTTTTAATAGGCGCCAACATCACAACATAGAAAGACACACTATAAAATATCAATTGAAATGGCTTAACTCAATCAAAAGACATATTAACAAAAACAAGTGAACATACACTGAACGAATAAATTTGATCTATGACACAATGTAAATACAAAATTAATAAATCAAGGGGGTTAGATTTAAAACAATATCAGAAAGACAACCATAACCTTGGACAAAATGCCGCCAAATAAAATAACGTACACAGGAAAATAAAAATAATTTTGTTGTAAGGTATACATGGAGTACAGAAATAATTTTTACAAAATAAATAATTTTGTTGTTCCTAGTACGAGAACAAAAGTGAAAATTTATCTTCATGCTAAACACTTATCAAAGGTGGTATATATTAAAAAAATAGTGAGACTAGATATAACACTGAATAAGTAAACATTAAATAACAAAAACACATTACAAATTGTATCAACAGGTCAAATTAACACGAAAGTACGATTTGAGAGTACTCGCAGTTACTGAAAGCTAGTTAAAAGCCAAAAACAATTAATAATGAAAAATCATGCATCAGAGACTAAAATCAACTAAAACACATCCCAGGGATTTAGTGTTTTAACGTCATGGACAGTCAAAGAAGACAAGACTTGTGCAATGACAAAATAAAAGTATCTACAGGCAATATGATAGTCAGGAGTTAACCTGTTAATAAATATGTATAATGTAATATATAGACAGAGTAATCTCTATATAGAAAATGAACGTGGATGTGTATTTATACATCCCAAAACACCGTTTGAAAAGAATGCAAATTTAGTTATGTTTTAATTTGCTGATGACAAAATCGATATTATGTCCGTTTATAATGATGCCCAAGGGGAATCTCTCTTTTCTAATGATGCCCTAATGGAATATCTCTTAACATAATGTCTGTTTATGATGATGCGCAGGGGAAATCTCTCTTTTTCTAATGATGCTCAAAGGGAATATCTCTAAACATAATGTCTGTTTATAAAGATGGCCAAGGGGAATCTCTTTTCTAATGATGCCCTAATGGAATATCTCTTAACCTAATGTCTGTTTATAATGATGCGCAGGGGGAATCTCTCTTTTTCTAATGATGCCCAAAGGGAATATCTCTAAACATGATGTCTGTTTATAATGATGGCCAAGGGGAATCATTTCTTTTTCTAATGATGCACAAGGGGAATCTCCTACCACAATGTCTGTTTATTAGTATAGTGATGCCCAAAGATACTATCTTTTTCTTCTTCTGATGAAGCACAAAAGGGAATATCTCTAATATAATGTCTGTTTAGAATGATGCCCAATGGGGATCTCTATTTTCTAACGATGCCAACGGAGAGTATCTCTTTTAATGAAGCCCAAATGGGAACATATCTTTACATAATGTCTGCTTATAATGATACCCAATGGACATTTCTATTTTTTAATGATACCAGAGTGGGGAATATATTGCTGGATATCGCAATTGCAATCTAATTAAAATATAGTTCTCTGATTTCGTTATACTCATAATTAATCAGATTGTCGCAATTGTCCATTTGTTCAATCGTCCGTAAAACATATCTCAGCTTATTGACAGCTGAAGTAAAAGAAAGGGGAAAAATACCATGATATGGATATTCAAACTCGAAAATAAACTGACAATGCTATGGCAAAAAAAAAAAAAAAAACGAAAAACGACCCACAGACAAACAGCCGTATACAAAACACAACATAGAAAACTAAAGACTGATCAACATGAACCCCACAAAAAAACCCGGGGGTAATATACGAGTTAAAATAATAATGATTCAGTTTTGTAGTTGTGAATGATATAGTGTATATAACATCCGTCACCTGACATAACTATACACTTATTCCTTTCGGATAGGATTGACTTTAAATCATAAATTGAAATGGATTTAACTGGAGATCACAGAACTCGATAAGTTATCCATTATGTTTTATTTGCAAACCGAAAATTATGCAGCATGTACAAATTTTAGACCTCAAATTATTAAGGATGTAGAACTATGAGATCACAAGTTATTCATAAAAAATGGAAATCACATAACGATGACCCGAATTTCAACAATAAAAGAAAGATCACTAGAGAATTGCTGAATTGATAAAATGCCGACTTGAACAATTTTTCGTTTATAACGCAGATGGATGTGATATTTGAGCTGCAACTTTTCAATATCCAGTTTTTCAGTGTGAATGCGTCCGAAGCGCTTTTCTGCATTTACCTTCATATGCAACGCTAAAAAAAAAAAAAATGAAAGACAAGGATATATAAATACTTGAATACTCGAAAGCAACGTTACCCCAAATTATACCTTTTAGTTTAACGTCGGTAGAAGACTTTCAATTGTACTCATTCCTATTTTTTTTTTCAAGTCTTCCGTTAAACATTTTACCGATACTATACTGTAAATGTTGCAGGGTTTATTTACTATGCCTGTATTGTACTCATGCCGCGACTACGGTAGTATGGGAATTGTTAATTCCGGTCTTTCGGTCCGTCCGTTTGTTCGTCTGTTCATCCTTCTCATATCACGTTAGAGTTTTTGTAGATACAGGCACACCAACTTGAAATTTAGTAAGCGTGCTCATCATGATGTGAACATTTAAAAATATATATAAGATTAGGGTTTTGAGTCAGATTTCACGATTCACTGAACATGGAAAAAGGATGATGTGATATAAGTACATTCTCATTTTACATGAAGTAATGGTCTCATTAACTTGAAACTTACTGCACATTGTTCATTATGATATGAACTTTCTTCAAACGCTAATCCAGGATTTAAAAAAAGGTGAGGGAAACCTGACAACGTTAGAAGTGGGAGATGTAAAAAGTATATGCATTAACCATATATGTAGCTCCATAAGGAAGGGTTCCCCGGACTCCATGTGCACCCTAAATCCGTCAATGTAATCTTAAACATACGAAGTTAATGTAGTTCGAGGGGAGCATATTGTGCTGTGGACAAATATTCTAGTTTGGATAAGGTTTTATCTCTCATCAATGTTTGGCTTAAGTCAGTGACAAAATTACTGATACGACCTTTAACATTATTATCCGAGAAACAAATCTAGCGCACGAAGTTAAGTAAAGGTTAGGCGGATGGCGAACCAGTATTTGTAATATAAATCGTTATTAATGCACACTACCTACTCTAGGGGAGATGTGAATTAGGTGTGGATACTAAACAATGTCAAAGATCTCTTAGACTACATTCAAACTAAGTCTTTTTCATCTTGAAAATAGCATAAAATCATTTGACTTTCTACGCAAACACATGTATTCCCCATTCCAAACTTAGAAATAAATTGAGATAATTGGTCCAATTTTGTGTAATAAAAATAGAATGGCAAACTTAGATACAAATATCTTTTTTTAAGACGGGATAAATCATACTTTGTAGAAAAACACTCTGATTCAAAGAAAACATTCTCTGAAATTGACTCAAAATGCTTGATTTCTTGATTCTGAAATATTTGTTACGTTTCGAGGACGTGATCTTGAACCAAAATCGGCATTCCTATGAGAACCAAATGTAATCCTCTTCCTGCCGACTTATTTCTTTATGTGAGCATCACTGAAGAGACATTAATGGTCGAAATGCGCAACTGGTGCAGTAAAATAGGTACCGATAATGTTATTATATGAGGCATACTTCATATAGGAGATTCTTAGGAAGAATGAAAAAAAGCTAACGTTATCCTTTAACTTCACGTTTCGCTATATAAATGATGTTCTTTCACTAAATAATTCAAAGTTTGGCGTCTATATTGAATGCATCTATCAATCTAACTTGATAAATAAGATACAAAAGATACAGTTAAGTCTGCCTCATATATTGACTTGCATCTAGACATTGACATGGAGGGTCGGTTGAGAACAAAACTTTACGACAAAAGAGAAGATTTCAGCTTCCATATTGTGATCTTTCCATCTCTATGTAGCAACATTCCAGCAGCGCCTGCAATTGAGGTATATGCATGTATCTCCCAATTGATACAATAAGCAAGAGTTGGGGTTTCCTATCATAATTTCCTTCATAGAGATTGTTGCTAACAAGAAACTTATTAAACTAAGGGTTTCAAGTGTTGAAATAGTCTCCTCTTAATTTGAAAATTTTATGGACGCCCTCACGAGTTGGTGGACCGTTATGGAATATCTGCAAAGTTGACCTTAGATGGATTTGGCTATTTTTTGGTCCCTTTTGGTGATATAGCGTTTAGGTCTTATACACCATTGGCTTTCAAACTTTGGGGTTGAACGTTCCCGATGAAGGTAAATACAGAAAAGATCTACTTCGGACGTACGAAAGTGTTATTTTCATTCACAGATGACGACGGATATGTTTAAAAGTCGCAACCACAATTCAGTCATCGATTCCTCGAATGTGACATCCCCGAATGAGACTGATCACCGACTTTGTACTTCCATGAGCAACACGACGGGTTCACATGTGGAACAGGATCTGCTTACCCTTCCTTAGCTTACCCTTCCATGTTATATGAGTATCATAAACCAAATCTTGAATTCCATCCTAATTCTATTCTATTTTAGGGAAATTTCAGAAATTCAAATGTGACGTCATCTTTTTTTGCGTTGATTTCTTTGGCTAACTCGGCTGTGAATTTTTATGTGCTGTTTTATGTTGTTTTATGTATCCGTTTTTATTCTGTAGTTAGTCACCACTTCGGTGTTATCATGTATATCTATTATATAGTCATTTTTATAAATTTACTGTTTGCAAAAGTATGAATTATTCTAAATACTAAAGATTTTCTTATCCCAGACATATAACCTTAGCCGTATTTGGCACAACTTTTGGAACTTTTGGTCCTCAATGCTCTTCAACTTTGTACTTGTTTTGGCTTTCGAACTTTTTTGATCTGAGCGTCACTGGTTAGTCTTGTGTGGACGAAACGCGCGTCTTGTGTATTAAATTTTAAACCTGGTACCTTTTATTAGCTATTATTCGTATGTTTCTCTGTCCTATACACTTGTGTATGTTCTCCCATTTATTTGTATTGTAGTCCTGTCATGTAATGTTGTCATTGTGATATTATATTTAACATTGCCATAAAAGCGGGAGGTTTGGCTAGCCACAAAACCAGGTTCAACCCACCATTTTTTTCTTAAAATGTCCTGTACCAAGTCAGGAAAATGGCCATTGTTATATTATAGTTCGTTTCTGTGTGTGTTACATTTCAATGTTGTGTTTCTGTTGTGTCGTAGTTCTCCTCTTATATTTGATGTGTTTCCCTCAGTTTAAGTTTGTAACCCGGATTTGTTTTTTCTCAATCGATTTATGAATTTCGAACAGCGGTATACTACTGTTGCCTTTATTTAGCACATGGGATCACCCCGGGTATTGGCGGCGTTCGCGTCGCTCAGTCTTTAGTTATCTATGCTGTGTTTTTTATATTGTTGTCATATTCTATATTCATTGTCTTTTTGTTGTTTTTCGTTTTTTATGTTGTCAATGTGTCTTCGACTTATGAGTTTGAATATCCCTTTGGAATCTTCCACCTCTCTTCTACACCTGGTACAACTTTCATCAGATGCATTCGAGATCAAAAGTTTTGAAAGCCAACTTATATAAAATGAAAAATGAATCATTGTAGTCATATACCTAATTGGTGGATGGTCACTTCGAGAACGAACAGTCCACAAGCATCGACACCAATCCAAAAGAATTCATAATATCATATGATAGCAATGTCATTTCGAACGACTCGTGTTTCTTCAACAACATTCACCAGGTTCGCTCGAGATTAATTTGTTGATGTCGTAAAATTACCCACAAACTTGTACTTGTTGCTTTTATATGATGGAAACGAGAATTTTCTATCCACACGAAAAAACATATACAGTTTAAATTCAGTTTAAACAAGCTTATGATGATAGCCAATAATAAATAAAGATACAATTTCTTACCGGAAAAATATAAACTAATGCATAAAAACACAAGGTAAATTGTTATATGACTATTGTTGCTTATTAATGTGTTAAATACAGTTCACCGTTCAAAGTTTTGAAATTCTCCTGGCATATTACTTAGTTCTTTAATTGTTGGGAATTTCTTTGTATCCCTAACTTTTTTAGTCACCGTTATATCTGGTTGAGGTCTTGGGGTCTTGGAAGCTCTGTGTTTCAAATCAACTGAAAAAACTGATAAATTTGCTTCAGACATAACCATATCAATACTAGAAGGTCTCTGAATCGATAATGGTGTTGAAGTTCTAGGATCATAATTAAAAGAATTGTTAAAACTATTGTCATGCACTGCTGTTTTAATTGTCCCATTTGTGATTTTATTTTTGCGCATGCTCATTGTTCGACTTTTTGCTTGAGGGTCATGAACATATTGACCCATTCTACTTTTAGGTGGAAAAATTGATACTGCCTGGCTCATTTTACTGGCTGCTGCTTCTCTACTATATGCCTCTTTATTCGCAGCATCCTTAGCTTTTAATACTGCTATTACACGCAATTCTCTATCTAAGTTAGTTTTCACTCTGTCGATAACGAGCGCCATGTTGCGTTTCCGTTCAGTATCTTCGCGCATCTGTGTTGCGACTCGACTTTTCATTGTGTCTATTGTCGCTATAGGGGGTTGAGGTTTAGTTACTAATCTAAGCTGTCCTTCTGGTTCTTGAAACTCGGCGTTGTGTTTCCATTGTTGAAGTTCCATGCTCTGTGGTTGCCCATTTCTGATTGGTTTCACAACAAGTTTAGGCTCTGTTATTATTTCCTTGTTTACCATGGTATTGGTGTCTGACAAAGTAAATACAGTATGGGCTCCTCTAGGAAGGGTTTTTGGAACTAAAAAAAATAAAAAATAATATTCATCTATTAATACATTTTTTGGACTTATTCTCTCTCTTTAATCTAAGAGAAGACTTTCTTAACATTTTTGTATTTGATTTAGATCATATTTATATATGAAAAAGATCTGTTCGATGGCAAAAAATCAGATTCATGACTAAATATTAAATAAGATAAAATGTTTATAACAAGTGCATTTATCACAAAATGATAACAAACTATTGGTTTTGTCTTATTGCTTTCAATTTTTTAATAACATATAATACCAAATATAGATATAAAACGAGAATCGAATCCAAGATCGCACCCAATTCTGATTTAAAATATTGTTATCTTTGGTTTGTATGGTCTTCAGAAATTTGTCTGTGTTCAGATATTGTTATCTTAATTTTGTATTGTCTTCAGAATTTTTCTTAATCTTTTTTCATATTAGCTTGTGTACTTTTCTACTCATGAAAACTAATGAAATAATGCCGACAGTTACAGTTCCTGTAGTCATCTTCGTCATACTTCTACTGATTACTTATCACAATTAGTGGCATATGGTTAATAGCTTTTGCTGATTACATAGAAAGTTTATTACTGTTGATTTTTTTTGAAAAATCAAATATTATAGTAGACTCACATGGCGGTAGATGCATGCATGACAGGGGACGCTTTCCCTGTCTCGCTTCTTTTAGGGTTCAAGGGATTCCCCAAGTCTTTGTTCTTTTTACCTTGATTAGTATCTACTTAATGCATTTATGAGATTTGAACATCAGTAAACCACTGCTGTGTGTAATATAGTTAGTGCAATTTACAATCAGCTGTTTGACAAGAACATGGAAATTTGTCTATACTTACTTATAATGATTTTCTTTGTGTGCTTTTTAATATATCTTCTATAAAGGCATATACCAATTAGTAGAGCCAGAAATATGACCAACATAAGAGAGAAAACTATTGCAAATATTTCTGCAATTGACAGAGGATCATCTGGCGGGGATACTGGTGCTGAAAATAGAGATGTTAAACTGATGTTCGGCTGATTTGTAATTTAAGAATCTCGTCAAAGATACCATGTTTATAATTTTGTACGCTATCCGCGCGTATTGTCTACATAAGACTCGTCAGTGCTGCTCGAATCAAAACAGTTGGAGGTCCAAGTCAAATACGAAGTAAACAAAGAGCATTAAAAACCGAAAAGTCAAGACATTTGTGCCAAATAAAGCTAAGATAATCTATACCTGGGGGCTGAAAAACCTAAGTTTGCGAATAATTTAACATTTTGTAGACAATTAAGATATATGTAATACACATACAAAGTGAAGATTTCCATAGATATCGATGAAAAAATTTCACCGACTAAAGTTTGTTTTTTTATCAATTATATAGAACATAGAATAGCAAATAATAATGGGTTTAAGTCCAAGGTCGGTGCAAAATTAACTCCAAAGTCATAGCAAGCATTGATATCAAGATATTTATAAAAGATAATCAGCTAGAACAAATGGTTAGCCAATATTGTAGTACTGACTCGGTACTTTTGTAAAAGCTAAAGTAATTTGACAGATCATTATTTAACACATTTGTTTTTGTTTACAAATCTAATACACCATCAGATATTAACCAATCAAGTTGTCAGTTCAACTAGTATTTTAATTTGATCAATGATACTGGTATTAAGAAAATTCTAATGTTGAATTTTGAACTGGTACGATAGAACTAGAGAGTATTTAAGATAACGACTACTGTATCATTGATTTCAATACATAGCAATTAATTGACAAAAATATAACTCTTGAGAAAATTTCATTGAATTGACCAGTTGGGACCGGTTGATTGATATATTGCTGTTTCTGTAAAGTAATCAATCAGGTGTACAAAGAATTTAAAACAAGGTGATACTCACCACAGGATGCTGAAAATAGTGTATAATTAAATTTAAAAAAAACATTAATTAACATGATTAATGAAACGAAATGTTTTCAACACATTCAATAGCATGCATTACCAAAAACCAGATATATTCACCAGCTGCATGATAGTATATACGTTGTTTTTGCCTAAAATATACACACAATTTCAAGTTCGTTACTAATCTTTCAAGTAAAAGACATGTCTGGTGCATATTATATTCTTGATAATTACTTTATGGCAAGTTTTAAATTGTAATGGTTTATGACAGCAATAATGTTAAATCAAACATAGGAGCACAATAATGGTGTTACTACTCATTAATTACTATTAATGCTATGCATTTCTGTGTGTTAATTATATAAAGAAACAGGAATCACAGTCCATAAGGATTTTTATATTGCCTTTACAAATATTACTTCATTATAAAACTATACCTTCGAATTGTTTTTGTAAAGTCCTAATATCCTCCCTGGTTACTATGTAAATATGTTCATGTTGGAAGATACCAAGGAGACAATAAAAACTCATAAGTCGAAGAGAGACCAACAAAACAATGACAAAAAAAAAGTAAACAATAAAACTATTAACAAAATCTGGGTAATCTCGGGTGCCCGGAAGGGTAAACAGATCCTGCTCCTCTAGTGGCATCGTCGTGTTTCTCGTGGTAAGTACACATTTTGTGATAGGTCTCATTTTGTGATGTTATAATCTTGGAAATAGGAACGGGATTTAGCTACGACAATCAGAACATATCAGTGGTCATCTGTGACACGGATATTTCATAATTGTTAACTAAATCATGATGATGTCTATAAACCTTTCGATGGGATGGCATCAACTTTACCACTAAGCATCTTTAATTCAATAGATTCATTGTAAGCAGTAACCAGCAATCAAGGAAAATCATGAAGGAAACACAAGCTCTGTAGTATCGTATCAACTGGGAGATATTTTCTCCATATGCAGGCGCTGCTGAAATGTCACTGGGAAGGTTCTGTATAAAGTCTACCTCGTATGAATTAAAAGAACAAGTCGGCAAGAAGATATGAACAGTTGGTTCCTACAGAAACACCGATTGTCTGTTGAAAAACAGGTCCTCAAAACGTAACAAAAAGTAAAATCACAAAAATACTAAACTCCGAGTAAAATTCAAAAAGGAAAATCCTTAATCAAATGGCAAAATCAAAAGCTCAAACACATCGAACGAATAGATAACAATTGTCATATTCCTGACTTGGTACAGGCATTTTCTTATGTAGAAAATGGTGGATTTAACCTGGTTTTATAACAGACACAATAGGTAAAAATGTCAAAAATAGGGGTACAGCAGTCAACATTGTGTTATCATCTTAATCACTATAAAACAAACAAATGTAACAAAGTAGCACAAAAATGCATAAAACAAATTTAACATCCTCATATTGCTTATTTATTATACGATTTTATTTATCTATGTAAAATCCACCCACAAAGGATGGAAGGTTTTAAGATCTGGCGTAGAATCGCGCGTTTGACGTCACACAGGTAGATATAAAATAAATTTGTCGTTCAAAGTATGACGGGATACATAAGTACAGAGTCACGTCAAATGGATATCACAAAAAACAGACTTAACAGTAAAAGTAATATTAATAAAATAAAATAATTTTGTCGTTCAAAGTATGACGGGATACATAAGTACAGAGTGTCGTCATTACAAAAAAAATCAAACATCTTGTAAATGTCAGTTTCAAAGAATTTTTGTTTAAAATGAAAGTGGCTTTTCACAAAGTATGACTTATTCCGTCCTAAAATAAAATATTTTTATATACATTGAAAATTCTATTTTATGAAACAAAGTTGAACTAATTATAACAATCTGTCTTTAAGTTTAGAAAGAGGAATATTAGTGAAAAGGATAGAGAAGTCAAATGTATTATGATATACTTTTGCAAAAGGACTTAGAGTGTATGCACTCTAACATATCTTTTGATTCTTTTAGTATCTGCATCTGATTCAAACCTCACTTTAGGTAGAAAACTTAATAGTAACTCTCAAACTAGGCTTTGAAATCTGATAAAATAATTTGGAAAGAGGTTTTGTGTATTGGAGACACAGCAATATAAAGATGTTTGTAAGGACGCTTATGTAGTTTTTGTAACGTTTAGTTGCCTCAAATTAACTTATTTTTTATACAATGATACTGAATTATTTATTCAAAATCACATGCTTCAGCATCCTATTCGCTACCAGGAAACATTTCATTTACTAGTATTATTAAAAAAGCACGATAAGATTGGTGCATGTTGACGTCGAGTACGGTAGTTTACATATTTATGCCAAACACATATCAATTTTGTATCAGCATTAGCCCTAATGTGTACAATAATAAAATGCTAACAGTATCTTTAACGTGCCAGGTTAGAAAACAATATTTTACTCAGAGCCGACAAGTGTTTTTGTTTACCCCTGGAGTGTTTAGCCGACAAAAATGATTTTTTAACAAGTGGCAATCTCCCGGTCTTCATGTTACAATGTGAGTGTTATATGTATAAAAGATGCGGTGCAATAACAACAGAGACAACTATCCATCAAACCCAAAAAGGTGACCATTAACACAATGGCTTTCAATAATGGATATCGTAATTTTAGCTATGAAGCTTCCCCAGAAAACCAAATGTTAAAATTTCAAAAAGAGACAACCAAGTCAATTACATAAACCCAATAAAAAATAACAAGAATACAATAGCAATCACTGTACACCACGTTTATCTGTTTGATGGGGGTAAATATGATTGTAATGTACATGTTGTTAATTAGAATAAAAACATAACTCATCAGATCATAACTAAGTACAACAATATTTGAATGATATAAGGGTACAACTGCTACTCTCGTTTTTCCTGTACAAGTAAATTAAACAGTACACCCCGAACTGTAAAAACAAAAGTAGGAGCCCAAGAAAAGTTGGATATTCAATTATACTAAATGTAATATATCGGCGGAATGTAAGCCAACAATCGTAACAGAAACAATAGCGTAATATATAAAATTTTGAATCAAACTATTGTTGCAGAAATCAATGTTTATATCACTGACACTCGCTGAACCAAGTCCCTTTCAGGTCTATTCTTTTGTTCTGTTAATAACAAATAGTTTTTCCTTTAAATTTAATTTCTTTTCATATTCCCTTATTTTATCCTTCCGACCTATGCATAAAGCAATATTTACCCTATCTATTCGTTGGTGATACTGACTAAAAGTTACGAGGCATAACGTATCAAACAGTCATCTTTGATTTTCTGAATATGATACATTCTTCAAACATACCATATTTCAAAAATGACAATTTTTGACATTTTTTTATTTAATTTTATGCTGCGTTAAAATTAAAAATGAAACTTAAGGGAAAAACAATATATTGAATCTTTTGAAATCAATATACTTGTATTTTTACCAACTTACTGACAGTTGTGAGTTGAAGAAGAGCACCATCTGTAGGCAGAACCGTGGGACTGGAACCTGATGAACATTTATTTGGACTTTGACTGACCATTGTAATATTTGTATCATATTCCACCGTCTAAAAATAATATAAAAAGAATTTCAAGACCTCACATTATTAAGAATCCTGTTCGCATTTCGAATATAATTGTTGGCAATCGCTCTCTCCATTACAGAATTGTCAGCGAAAATGTTCAAATGCTCACCTTTGGAAAATTCTTTAAAAATCCATGATTCTCCATTCAATTATTGAACACCAAGTAATAATTAAAGGTCTAATAAGTAATATTAATAGAACTGGAGGAGCGAGGGAAAAAGTATAACAAAAATACCGAACTGATTGAGCACCCTTATGAGCTATTAAAGTTTAACTACATATACTATAACTGGCACATAATTTGACTTAATTTTCCATCAGTCAATTTTCAACGCGTAAATGAAGTTATAAGTAAATAACAAGGCTCAAATATGCAAATAAGTGTTTATACTCATCCGGTTGGTAGCTGGACTGTTCAGGTTTTCTATTTTGTATTTTCTTTTACAACATATTGTCTATATAGATACGCATGCACAACTGGTTTAACATTATTTAGTGTCTGTACAAAGTTAGGACCATATGTTATTTGTTTATGTTTGTCTTTGTTTGTACATCTATTTTCTTGGTGGAGTCGGTTGTTAGTGGTTGGTGTAGTTTGTTGTACGTCTAACATTTTAGTAATTCCTGTTATCATATGTATATCATTGATTGGGAAAGCATTTTGGTATGTTAAAATTTGAAACGAGCTGGAGTATCCTGACTTTAATGTCAGGAGGATATAATTATTTATGACACAAAATCAGTATGTGCACAGCAAAAAACACAAAAAGCAAAGGAACAGCGCTTTTATTGCTGTTCTTCATCTTAAAGTCACAGTGAGGTCTTCAAAAAGGAGCAAAAATCTTTTCCCTTACTGCAAGTTTAAGACGGCAATTAGCGCCGGTTTTTTTTGTGGGAGGGAGGGGGTTGTGAATACTCGATCTTTGATAGGCCAATTTATGATCTCTATTAGGCATGCGACTACATAAACACAATTACAACATAAAGTCTCTGTTTTAAGTCTTACCAGAAGATGCGTATATGTAGGTGCACATGCGAGCGATTCTGTATTAACCCTCGATTCACTTCATGTAAAGCAATAATATGATAGCCAAAATAAACAAAAACAGAATGTAACATAAGAATGTCTGTTTTACTCACGAAACACGTAAATCGCTTTGTTGACGCTCCATTGACCGTAGAATCAAAGTTGTAAACCCCTACGTAGTAAACACTGGTACTTGTTGTATCTTGCACTGATATGATACAACCTAATGATCCAGAAGCTGGAATGTAATAATAAATAATTCATTTATTATATGTAACTGTGTGATGAATTTGAATTTATGTTGTGTTTTTTTTTATCATTTGTTTTGGTACTTAGGGTAATAGGTTTCCGCTAAAAACCCAAGAAATTGTGCGCTTTTGCATAGTTGCTTGTCCAGGTTAATAATGTGTGTTTATGATAGTCAGTAGTAGACAAGATTTAAGCTCAACAAGAAACTGCATAAGAAATGACATCACACCTATAAACTATCTATTATACAAGTAAAAAGAATGAAAAAACTTTGCTTAAATAAAAGAAACAAATTTTACCAAATTGGTAATTTACATGTGTGACTTAGATTTCATAGTGATACTTGTATGTATTTCATACGTAATTGAATCATTGCGTGATAGCGCTGAATTTGCTAAAATTGTGTATCTTTATTTTTTAAACTATCTAAATAGAGTTTACATTTTTAAGAACATCCCTGTTAAAAATCAGTTGATTTGCTATATTTGTAAGGTCAATATAATAAATCCTGGCGTTTTCATACGTTTGCATCATATATTCAGTGCTGACATGGGACGATCGAGTTTGGATTCGCCTGGCGAGGTATGCACGTACATTGTACATCAGACGACGCTTATCATGTCAATCCACCAGATCGTGCTCCGTTTGGAGTTTATTCGACTTCTTAAGCCTTTGACCCCCTCCCCTTGATTTGTATGTTCTAAATGTATTTAGGCGATTTATCCATCGGTAAACAACTGTTGTCTCTAATTGATCACAATATGTGTTTTTTTATTTAGATACACGTATTCTTCACGCGTTAAGTTCGGTTTTTATTTTTTTTTATCACGGCCAATTGAAGTATTTTACATATTCCGTCTGTTAGCTGCTATGATCTATCTTTTGTAAAAATATTTCAAAGATGCATTTCAAATGTATCATACTTTGGATTATTGTGAATTAAACTAAAAAACTAAAAGTACTTTACAAAAATGATCTGGTGCAAAACAATAAGAAGTTATCACGGGACGAAAAACAGACAATACCATGTCCATACTTAAAAAAGACATATATAAAATCAATATTCAAAATTATAGCCTGAGAAACACGAATCTCACTAAAAAAATCAGATGCTGAGAATGGAAAGCACAAGTGACATTTATCGTGTCTCTTATGCTAAATTAAACTTTCGATGGGTCAGGCCATACTCTCCAATAACTTATGTTATAGGAGGAAAATAGGACGGAACTATCTTTGGTTACCACAAATGTGAGTGTTTAAAATGTTTCAGTTGAAAAACGAATTTACAAATTCCTTATGCGCAACCTCGTCAATCTGAAAAGACAAAAAGGAAGATATTCCATCAGTGCACTGGAGACATTCTTCATTGTAAAAGAGAGGCGAAAGATACCAAAGGGACATCCAAACTCATATGTCGAAAATAAACTGACAACGTCATGGCTAAAAAAGAAAAAGACAAATAGACAAACAACAATACACAAAACATAGAAAAATAAAGACTGAGCAACACGAACCCCACCAAACACTGGGGGTGATCTTAGGTGCTCCTGAAGGATAAGTAGATCCTGCTCCACATGTGGCACCCGTCGTGTTGCTCCTGTAAGACATTGTTTTCATTGAAAACTGACCGTTTTTTTAATGTTTAAAACCCATTTAAACATTATTGAATATTAGTACGAAACATATATATCTACTATATACATTTACCTGAATATCCAACGAACTGACTTCCACAGGCAGTATTATTTAGAGTGATAATAGTTGTATTAGAACAACTTTCCCAGAAAGCAGATGCTCCACATTGCGATGAATCGGTTCCAAAGTTCATGGAATAGGTAAAATCACCAAGCAAAGGTACAGGAACAGCACTTAATCCTTCTTTTGACGAAGCTGTATAATATATTAATTGAATAGTGTTACAAGAAAACGCAGACATTTGTACCATTTTAGGCTTACAATAATCATGTACTTAAACCAGATTGTTTTATATGACTTGTTTGGAGTTCCTATAAACTATTACTGTAGCAGTCTGCTTTTCTGGTTTTCTTTGTCATTTATACAAAGTAATCAAATATTAATCACAGCTTAATGATAAAGTTAGATGGATTTTATTATTCTTAATGTCCCTCTTGATCATATAGCTCTTCACGTGTTTGGGTAGCTATACATCATTGGCTTTCAAATTTTTGGACGTGAACGTTTTTTATGAAGGTAAACACAGAAAATCGTTTTCGAACGTGTTGTTTTAATTTTTAAGGAGATCAGTAGAACATAAGATTTAGAACGAGTCTCTTGGTTTTTTTTTTTTTGTTTTTTTTTGTGTGAATATCTAGTAAAGAGAAATGGCGTGCCTAGCCGGGGTTTCGGTCGAAATAATCCCGAAAACATAGAAATATACTGATTTGGTGTAATGACCGTTCAAAATAGTATTTTATTCATATTTTCAATGCAATTGAAAATATTTGACCTCGGTTACCGCGACGCATATGCAATTTTATGAAATTGAAAAGGCTTGAAAATGTTTTATATCAGTCAATCTAAATAACTCATGTTTTATATCAGTCAATCTAAACAACTCACCAGGATTTACTATCATATGGAATTCACCGACTCCTGGCGACGTATTACATACATCTGCTTCTGTTACAGTCGAAACCGTTGTTGCAACGGGGACTACATCGCCAAAATTCAAATTGTCTTGATCCTCTGAAATATATTGTCAAAGACTTAATCTATATGTACTGTTAACGAGCATGTCTTTTCAACTTAAAAAAATATACACGGAAAATACATAGATAGCAGATTTATAATTGGTACGCGAGATAAGTTTACGTTTAGTCTACGTAAGACACATTAGTGGCACTCGAATCAAAACATTAAGAAGGCCTAATCAAATGAGTTGCAGAGCATTAAAACAGATAATGCCTAAAACGGTGACAAAAAACGAACTTTATTCTTATATCAATTGGAGAAAAAAAACACTTACTTGATCTGAGGTAATAATAGAATGATGAAGTCGTTAATGATTTTATTTCAAAACATATCCATACATTAACAGTAAAACCACCCAGAATACCTAGCGTGACAGCCTCAACACTTCTGAAAAAATTCAAACAAAGAAGCATTTATAGGATATATATCTCTTTTATTTATAGACAAACAATATACATTCATTGTATTGTTGAAGACCGTGTTTTGATGTCTATATATCTTTTGAAGGGTTTTTGTGTTTGGTTAGATGCACCAATGAAATGGTCATACTCTTCAAAATAAAATTCATTTGTAACAAAAAAAAAAAAAAATAAAGTCGTACAAAATATCCCATAAAGGTAATAGCACTTATTAAAACCTCATCAAAGATACCAGGCTTATAACTTTGTATGCCAGATGTTTATACTGACTCAATACTTAATGATAAAAATACAGTTTTTTGGATTATTCAAAACTGTGTTACCTATATGTATAAAAAATTATAATACATATAGTTAGTTTTAATTTTTCTCTCGCTTTTTATGTTCTGTTTGAAAAGGAGTTTTTTGATACGCAACAACAATAAAAAATAATAGATCAATAACAATTATAAAAGAACTACAAAATGAATATTACTTTTCATACATGTACTGTTTTATCTATTTTACTTACTTTGATACATACAGATCTCCATTATTTATTTGACAAGTAAAGTTTGTATTGGTGAAACCCGTAACGAATGCTTTCGTCTGCATGTTCATAGAAGAATCTGTAAAGCCGATAGTCCCATAAACACTGTCGTACCATGTTCCTCGTAAGTCACTTGGATAAGTACATAGCCCACCTTAAAAAACCATGAAAAGGTAAAGTAAGGTGTCTTCCGCCGAGCGAGATACTTCAAATGAAATGTTTGATAATGGTTCATCTGAACTCGGAAATTTAATGAGAGGAAAACATGGAAAAGATTTTTCAAATAAATATTAAAGCAGATTTTTGTATAGAAATAGTTGCATGGGTATTGTTGTTTGTTGCGGTCTGTCATATTTGTTTTTTCGGTTATCTTTTGGTTGTTTCACTTTTTTTATGTTGAGTCTTTTTTAGCTGATTATACCGTATGGTATGAGTTTTGCTCATTGTTGAAGGCCTTTTGGTGACCTATAGTTGCTTATTTTGGTCTCTGGTGGGTAGTTGTCTAATTGGAAATCAATCAACATCTTCTTATTTTTGAATATTTATTATTCTTGAATACTGTGCAACTATAACAGGAACCATAACTTTCATTGTTTTTTTAGTTGTTAAGGGAGCTTTTTGTCTGTATCACTGATGTTGCTTAAGAAGTTATAGTTTTTCTGGTGCCATCAATATGTTGATGTGTCAATCTTGTGATTATTTGATTTGATGCGACATAAATATGAGTTGTATCGGCAAACGAAGTATGTGAAACGGCTCATATTTATTATGAAACTACACACACACACACACACACACACACAAATACTTACAACTTTGACGAATTAATAGGAACAGGCCATAAAGCAGTTTTACGTCATGTACCAACATCTTGATCCATCAGAAATACTCCAAAGATTAAAATAACATGTAACATTTTTTCTTCATTTTGATATTTTACAAAAGGATGGTTATTTAAACCTATGGCAAAAACATGCCATTGAAATTAACAATTTTAGATTATTTTTCGCATGTTTTACTGTTTAAACAATAGACAAGATTTTAAATTTGTAACTCAATATTGCATGTGTTATTTTACCTTTGTTCATGTTTATTATCTATGTGTTGATATTAACAACCAGATTAATTACCTACAATTAGAAGTCGTAAAAATCATTTCATTTTTAAAACACCATGTATTTAAATATAAATATTATAAAAGAGAGGTTGTTAAACAGACCAATAGAATGTATATGTTAATAGAAACATCGAAAATATTTTACAAAAATGTAGACTTATTTCAAAGGAATATTTTGAAATGATTTGTAAACAAATTTAAATGACTTGCGTTTTTTAATTTGTTGACACTGCATTTATACATTCACATCAAACTATTCTGTATTGAGGTGAAGATAGATCTGAAATATTCATCAATGAGACAGCATCTAACAACACAATCAAACCCAAAAAAGACATAATTTTATTATTTAAAACATTAAAAACTTTCACTGCACTTCAAAAAGTAAAAAAGTATGAATTTATTCATTTTTTAGATGAGTGCTTACTGTTAAGTACACAATTGCAACTTTTCCACCAGGTGTTTGTACAAATAACTTTCAGCTTCTAGGGCTTAGGTGCACCAGACTCATGCCTTCCATTTATCGCTTTCTTTAAAAAAAGAACCTAACTTACGGCTTGTAGGTTTCAAATCACTTAGTAAATAGATACATTTTAAGTTGGTTGAATTAAATAAGTAAATTAGAAAGCCAAACCGGACGTAAAAAGAAATAAATAGAAATAAATAACCATAACAGATACAAAGTGAAATAATCAGAATGAGAATATAAATATTTTCAGTAGTCGAACTAGTTCCCCTATGAATGTTATTCTAGTTAAGAGCACACTCATTGTTACTAAAATTAGAAAAAAAATAATACTAAGAGAGAATATAAATGAATACCATGAGACAAACAAGGGAAAGTTATGGGACAAACTGTATGGAAACCATTGAAAGCTTTATTTATTCGATTAACATCTACGAAGTCAAAGCATTTAACGTTAGTCTTACCTTACCCGTGACCCCATGAAATCGTAAAATATCACTAATGTTCCTTTTCATTTGTTTTAAACAAATAGTCCAAATTATTCAATGGGTTTTATTGTAATACTAACTTCTATATATTAATGGTGGAAAGGGCATTATAAACATTAAAACATGGATAAGAAAGGATGTATTTTATTATCAGAACTCTTGTTTGTTCTTCACATTCAGTCTGGTAAGTATAAACCAGTAGGTAAGCTTTAATTGTTATTCCATACAATATAACTCGTTGGATTTGATCATTCCACCTACTCACAATGGACAAATACTCATATTTTGTGGAAAAAAAATTATTGATTACAAACTATAGATTAACTCATTTTACGGGGCATTGTAAGTTCAATTCTTACGAGAAAAGAAGAGACATGTTTTAATCAATAAGATTGGAACTATTAGACTATATAGAAGTTTTTCCGACTTTGTGTCTACTCCCGTCTTGGACAAGCGAAAATGATAAAATCTTCTTGAGCTGTATTTTTTTTGTTTACAGAAATCTTCTTTTTCATTAATACAGTAATGGTCTGATTTTTTTTCTGTTGCTTTGTTGCGGATCGAACCTGGATTTCCAAATAAATCGATAAAATGTGTGGTATTTGTATAGACTGTATTGTTCCAAAATGTTTCCTGATTTGCAAAGCAACTGATATGGCGGTATCTCGTATGGGTTGTAACAACAAAACTTGCCTAAAGTAAATATGGCAATTATAAATGATCGCATTTGTTCCATTAAAGTGTGCTCTTTTAGTTGTTTAAATCATTTTTGTGTATAGGTCTTGCCATTTGGAGTACATTTGATTGATTTACAATGTTAAAAGATTGGAGAGCCAAATACATACAACATATTGTATAAGAACCTGACCATATAATCAACCACATAAAATAACCTTTAATTTATTTTGAGCAGGTAATAAAACTCTTAGTCTAAGTAAAATTATACAATAATTTTAACAACACTTTTCCAGTTAATTTTATTGTGTACATTGTCATGCGCAACACGTCGGCAGACACTATTGGAGCAGGAACTGTGTACCCTTAAACGACATCTAATATCCCCATGGCTTTGGTGGGTTATCTGTTGCCCAATCTTCAATTGTTTGTGGACCGTTTATAATCCTATTTATGCTCTATTCCGCATCTTAATATACTTAAGATACTGTTTATCTTCTAGTAAGTGCTGATTGCACGTTTGACAGTAGCTTAGTTGGATCATGGACGAGTAACGACTACGAGCAAATAACCGTCACTAGTAGTGTATTAACTTTAGGAAGTCATGCATTCAATATAAACGGAAAGACTTCATCCGACTGGACATGTCATGATAATTCTACAGGGCCATATGTTATTTTAAGGTATTTATATACTTTTATTTGATATCAGTTCATTTTCAAACTTTATAATCTGACTGTTTGTGTGTAAAGTTAAAGTAATACTTTACCTTAGATATATCATTTCAGCATTATTTCCCTAATTATTAATAGTTTTATTACAAATCAAAATTGGATATTGCTTCGTATTTGAATTGTATGTAAATAAATAGTGAACGACCCTTTTGCGAGTTTTTTAAGTCATAATTATATCTTGTATAAATATCCTGTACTTTTATTGGTTGATTAGTAGCGTAACTGTTAATGTATTTTCTTTAATTAGATGAATTTCGTTCATACTTGACCTGAGTCGGATTATGCTAAAGCTTATGTGTTTTTTACCCTTCACGTAGACGTTTGACCATTTGTGTGCTTTTGTTTGGATGTTTTATTCAGTTACGCCTTGATAGGGAAAGAGTACTGGAATGACATCGAATGTTAAACTTAATAATCCCCATTGGAATTCGGTGTATTCAAACAGATCATGTCCATTATTGAAATTGAAAAACGAGACTTTATCTTGTTCTGTCGAGTTCTTCAACCTATTTCTCTTTTGGTAAAAACATTCTTTGCGCGGCACATTTTGTTGTTACGCGTCATTTCGTACAGTAAGAAGTTGATTAACACATAAAAAGGATAACAGGACAATTATCAATGAACTTCGCAAATGTTGTGGGATTAAAATCAGTTTTACGTGCGCACAAACCTCACAATTTGTCAGTTCAGCATTTGAAACCCCTTGTGTGTCGTTCCATCATGTAAAGAGCTATCTTTATTTCCGTCTATCAAATCTTATTGTGTATATAAATGCAAACAATCACACATTATTAGACTTTCATCATCGCGTTATTTGAATTGTCCTGTATCAAACTGTAACATAGTTTTATTACCTTCGTAATTCAAGAGGTGATTTAAAAAGAAAAGTTAAAATGCCTGTTACCTTGAATATTTTCCATTTATTGAAGTCAAAATCCCATTCTCTTTCCTTGGTTTATGACCGGAACACCTAAGTTGGCTCTTGATTTTAGTGGGATTTGCTTTCATTAATATGTTGATGTCTGCTTCATGTTTTGTAGATTTTAGTTTATCTATTGGTCTATTTCTTTCCAGCGGTTTGCAAAATGTGGAAATTCAAGTCTGCATAAATTAGAATTTCAACTAAATATAATAATAAAAAAAAAAGAAATGTTCTTACCAATAACTAACACAATTGTAAAGAAAACTTTAAATTTAAAAATATTTTACAGGTCTGAAATATTTGTATTATATAAAGCTGATTCCGTTGCTTTTATCTGCATGGAGGCAACAGCAGTCAATAACAATAGCTATTACTTCTATATGAATTCTCGTAAGTACAAAACATTAACAAAAACTACTATTTGTCTATTCAGTCTTGGATTTATTTGTAAGTGCAAATTTGAAAATATTTTTGCTTTAATTTTAGCTAGCTATAAAATCAGGTTTAATCCACCATTTTCTACATAAGGAAATGCCTGTACCAAGTCCAGAATATGACAGTTGTTTTCCATTCGTTTGATGTGTTTGAGCTTTTGAATTTACCATTTGTTAAGGGACTTTCCGTTTTGAATTTTCCTTGGTGGTCGGTATTTTTGTTATTTTACTTTTTACTTCATTTCTTTTTCATGGATTATACCTGATTAAAATCTGAGGAAGATGAATAACGATTTTCGTTAGAACCTTATATGTCAAAATAAATATTAAAAAAACCAAAACGATCACTCATTAATTATTCAATGTTTCAATATAATAGTCGTTTAGTAGGTGTAAAAGATTTATTATTAATGTTTTCAATTACCAATCAGTCCCACAAGACTGGTTTAGAAATACTAACATTTATTAATCAAAGAGACATTGACAGAATCAGGTTCAAATAAGGAAAAAAAGAAAGAACAATAAGCGTTTGCCTATCATTACTAAGAAAAAAATAACCAGTATTTATTATGATACTATATGAAAAATATGTATTAATTTTGTTTTGTCATATGAACTTCTATAATGCTGTTGTTGTAGTTCTTTTTTTTTCCATTGCAGCAAAAAATATATTTATAGGTAATGAGCGAATACATATATTTGGAGTTTTAAATGCAACGGGAAATGCAACAGAAATTTGCACAGAAACACCATCAAAGGCAGAATTCATAAGCATGGTCAGGACAGGTAAAATAATTCTTTTATTATCCCAAAAATTAATCAGGCTTTGGTGAAAATTATATTTTTGTCTACTTTTCAGTTGATTGGGGTTTAACAGTCATTCATATTTATAATCAATGGATTGTTTGTTTTTACTTGATTTTTTATTGCGTAAAAACCAATATTTTTGAATATACAGTTTGAGTATTTGATTTTTTAAACTTAAAGCAATAATAATTATGTTTAATCTTATTACATTATTTGAGAACCTTAGAAGAGAGGCGAAAGATACCAAAGGGACATTCAAACACATAATTCGAAAATAAACTGACATCGCCATGGCTAAAAAAGAAAAAAAGACAAACAGACAAACACCAGAACACAAAACATAACACAGAAAACTAAAGAATGAGCAACACGAACCCCACCAAAACTGGGGATGATCTCAGGTGCTCCGAAAGCTTTAACAGATCCTATTCCACCGTCGTGTTGCTCATGTAAGTACAAACCCGGTGATAAGTCTAATTCGGTTGGTCACATTCTGGAAAAGGGGACGGGATTGTAGTTACGACAACTGGAACATATCCGTCGTCATCCTTTTACCATTCAGGAGATATGGTCGTTGGTAGTTTTGAGAACGGCACTCTATGTCGTTTCCGTATAATTACTAAAGAACCGTTCCACCAATATTATCAAACTTTGATCTGTTGTTACTGATGACAAAATGGAGGTTAAGTTCAATTTTGACAATTTTCAATTTTCGGCACAGAAAGTGGCAGGTCAAACAAGTTTGAAAGCGCCTTCAAAATACAGAAAACACGGTTTTGACAGCTCTTTTCTTGTTAAAATTTCCTTTGATATACATGCATATCTAACTGTTTGACCGGTCATTTCATTCGTTAGAAGCCTTTTTGAATATCTAGCTGTGTAAATCTTATAATGTTACATATATGAAATATTGGATGTTACAGCGAATGTAATTCATCTATTCTACATTAAACAACTTTTCATTGTAGCTAATCAGTTGACTGTTATATAATATACTTTTTTATCTTTATCAGTTCCAGTCAAAATTTTCCACTAAAACATTCATCAAAAGTAGTAAATTAGGGAATGGTTTTTGTCGTGATTATTTGCTCTTTCTATGGAAGAAATCTTACAAAACTCATAAGAATGTTGAGTCATTTTTGTTTCTTTTCGTGTGCGATTGAGTGTTCTAAACTGGTTTTTGTTTTGCTTGCAAATATGTTCATTTTAGTCATACCTACACATCAAATTCGATGAATAGAAACATGGACGAACAGGACATCAAACAGTCATCCAAACATTGATAAATAGATATAAATGGTTCATCTGAAATATTTTAATAAAAGGATTAAAAATGATAAAATTAAAAAATTCATTTGCAACACCTTTGTGCAGTAATTTCCCCATAAAAGTTTCATTAAATTGACATTAAAACATCTTTTTATTTTGTATTCAAAGGTTCAGAGGAAAGTGCTTTAGCTGATTGCCCAGATCCTCTTTACAGAAATTTTACCTACGTTTTCAACAATGATGGAACAGATAAATGTTCTTCGCCGGACAACGGATTTGTCTCAGTTTGTCCTAGCAGACAAGAGTTGAACTTTTACTACGACAAATGTGCCACTACCATAGCTTATACGTGTATGTAGTAAAATCGTGATATAGATATAAATAAAATGAGATGTGGGGTAAACGTCGATGAGGCAGCAACCCAAGAAAAATCAATCCAGAGGCTAGTGTTGACTTTGTCAAACTTAAAAGTTAACCTCGCGTTATGTCAGTCGCTTGCATACATATATTAGCTACACATTTTTCGATTTGACAAAACTTGGATTCTCTGGTGCTTTTCTGTTGATACTAGTATATATACTTATTAAATGTAATAAGACAAATAGAAACATTTTTGCCAAGAATCATTTAGTTTTTATTGCTCACAATGAAGGATGGATATTTACGGTGATGCCAATTTAACCGTTTTCTGTTACATGTGCTATGAATGAGTGTCCATTGAAGCACAATTAAGGTTTATAAATGTCCAGCTGTTGTGGGCTTTGGAACGATTTTGAAGGGATCCAGAATTGTATTGATCTGTTCTTTTGTGTGATAAAAATAAGGATACATTAACCAATAAGAAAAAGATAATGCTTACCTTGATGGCAAAAAGACCATCTAGATGTCAAGACAAATTCAATATATACACATTTACTCGTCATATAATTGCCTTTGACAATGACACATACCATTGGACAAGCTATAAAAGGTCGAAGGTACATGAAATGTTAAAAAGAAAAAAATAGAGACAACCAAATACATTATTTTAATCAACAAAAGAAAGCGGTACACAATATTTCAAGTATGCGACGAGATATAGCATATTTAAATCGTGTTTTAATAATAAATCTTCTTATCTTAATGCAGTATTTGGAAGACTTGGTTGTGTTGCTTCTATCGTCGATGATTCATCTGGGACATACTATACGTCTTTGTATAATTTCGACGATACAGTTAATCAACTGACTACATTCAGATTCACTTGTGCGGTAAGCTTAGCAATAGCCACAGCAGAGCTAGGGTACAAATCATGTGATATTGGGTTAACACATTTTAAAGGGCAGCAGAAAATGGAATAAAAAGGAGGGAAAGATATTTAACTAGATAGATAAGACAAAAATACAACGATAACCGTTAACAGCACAAACTTTCTTACAATAATGTTAACTTAAAAACTTAAAAATGAATTCTCCATTTTAAGAAAATCTTGAATGCTTGGTAATAATTTTATTACAAAAAATAATGTTATTGGTTTATATCGAAAAATAAATCAAAACTCATAAATTTATTTTTTATGTTCATTCGGTATAAGAACAATGAATTTTATATTCAGTCTCTGATGATTCAGATGGAAAAACTAATTCTATGATATCACTGATAGTCATCCGAGTCTTAGACATTTTTGACGATAAACAAAATTCTCAACAGCTTTTGAAAATTAAGGTGAACTTGTTGATTTTATTCTTAGGCAGTCCAAAATGCAGCATCAGGAGATATTCAGGTGACATATACACCGGGCCAGTGTGTTGCTAATCAGGAATACAACACAAGACCAACTTCTTCTGGAGGACTGATTACACTAACCCCCAATGGTATGATTATATGATTTTAAATGTGCAATATAAATATTTTTATATAATATAGAAATCGTTATTTAGGTATGATCGTGTATAACACAACCATAATCCGTTACTGAAAATGTGTCTGTCAATATGAATCTTAACATTTTTAAAATGACTAGGGGAAAAATGCATTTATAAATTTATAAAATAAAAATATAAAAGAGACAAGGTACTGCATGTAAAAGTCACAGTGGTTCCAATGTTTTATTATTACCCATTCAGAATGCCATGTGTTAAAAAAAATTATAGAATGTTATGTATTTAAGCATAATAATTCATATTTATTCATATTCCAGGTACATGTGGTATGTATAGATAAAATTAAGTTTCTTGGGAAGCATTTCAGAAATAAAATCTTAAGAGATCTACACCAAAACAATAAATAATAAAAAACATTCATAACAGCAAACAATAATAAATAGAAAAAAAAACCGGAACAAGAATTCCACAAAAAACTAAATTATCAAGCGTTTTTTAGATTTTGGTGGAATGCACCAATTTTTGTTTAATTCAGAGATTTAACTTAACATAGACCATCATAGATACGCAAAGGCTACCAACACAAAAGTGTTGCCAAAACAAAATCACACGAGGTTTCTGACTTAAAAAAGGCTTATGGACATGTGATTCGGTAAAACTTGTTTCTTTAGCACATACCTCTTTTGCCCTCGGTCATCTAGATGAACGTTTATAAAAACTAGTATAAAAAAAACCCGCTCTCAATACTACAGTAAATGGATCATGTCACAGACTTTTGTTAAATTTTGTATACAGCTTCGATAAATTAAACTTAAACAGAAAAAAATAATGTGTTTATCTCTTTTTATTTTCTGAAATATAACTGAATAAATTCTTTAAAAGAAACAAGTGAACATTTGTATAGAAAGTACATTAAATCGACAAAAACGTAGAATATAGTTACATTGGAAGGCCAATTTATTTTTAGTTCCATCAATGGAGATAAATTGTTTTAGGTACTGATGGGGGATAAAACTTAAAACACACTGTTTGCTATTTATTGCATCCTATAAATATGAAAGTGTGTCTTCTTATGAGTATGTGCGCCCTAATTTTAAAGTTTTAGTATTACATTCTATTATGTTTTGTCTTTATAAAAATAAGTAGATTTGATATGATTGGCAATGAGACAACTCTCCACCAGAGACCAAATGACGTCGAAGTTAGCAACTATATGTCACCGTACGACCTTCAACAATAAAAAAAACCTATATCACACAGCAAGTTATAAAAGGGCCCGAAATGACAGATGTTAAACAATTCAAACGAGAAAGCTAAAGGCCTGATTTTTTTCTTGCATGGTCTTGGATGATCCTCTTTTTACACTTTCATTTACCATCAATGTATTCAATTTAAGATATAGTAAAGTTTGGACCTTGGATCAGTAAAATCACTTTGTAACTGGCGTACGTTGTTTACTTTCCTGCCGAAAATAATCCGAAACTGTTTCGTAAATTTGAACAGAATTTGGCGTTGGCCAACCGTTGTTTCAATTTTGATGATTGTTTTCAATTACCCGACGGACAATTAGCATAACCGCCATTTCTAATTATACGATACATGTTATCTGGGAAGAGGATAACTAACTCAATATATCATGTCAGATTTGTTATGTAACATTTACGAGACACACTTTGACCAAGAGAGGCGAAAGATACCAAATTAAAACTCATAAGTCGAAAATAAACTGACAACGCCATGGCAAAAAAAAAAAGAAAAAGACCAAAACACAAACAACAGTACACAAAACACAACAAAGAAAATGAAAGACTTCAGCAACACGATCCCCACCAAAAACCGGGGTCGATCTCAGGCGCTCCGGAAGGGTAACCACAAAGTTTCAATATTGGTTCTTTGTTGGTCCTCAACGTTATATCAAACACCACATTTCCTGGGACAAAAATACCAACTGATGCAATAATAGAAAAATATATTTTATCAACATTTCCCCTCTCAAAATAAAGGTTTAAACATTAAATACAAACTGTTCAAACTAAATCTCTTTTTTTAACCACATTTAATGATTCAATGTTCGACAGATCATCGCGGAACACATAGTTTTATCCCTTTTATAATTCCGTCCCTGTAATATACAAAAGAAAATGTTGGTCTAGTACTTTAATAATGAAAAAAAATATACTTTGTGATTATAAATATCCCGCCTTTATTGTAAGTTTACTAGGTAATGATATCGATTATTTTATAATCCAAATTTTAAAAGTATCAAATTTTAACAGATGTTTTGGGCAGATAATTTTAAAATTATGTTTCGTATGTTCGTTTGTCATCCTTTTTTTTGTTCCCTGGATATCACCTCCTTCTTATGAAAAAATCTGAAATGCAGGATCACTTTTTGGAGGGAGATGTTTTATGTACTAACTTCTTCACTAAAGTTCATTCACCTAATTTGTTTACTATTCCGAAAGCATCTGTTCAAACATCACAGCTATACATTAATCCATTTAATGTGTTTCTTTATTTAAATTTGACTATATAACATACAGCAAATCTGGTGCACTGCACTTATTTGAGTGAAATGATAATTAAAGTTATTTCTTTTTATTTATTAATAATTATCAAATAATTTCAACAGAAATAACCACCACATCAACATCAACGACAACTTCTACCACAACAACGACAACTCCGACAACAGCACCGGAAGCAACCACGACAGAAACTATGACTAACACAACAGAGTCAGCTGCTATTGATTCCAACGATAGTAATATATGGCCCATTGTTGGCGCCGTACTGGGTGGTTTACTGGTTATTTCATTATTGTTAATTATTCTTTATTGTCTTCTGCGGAAAAAGAAAGTGCCTGATGCTAAGGATGACTTGGTAAAAGTTGAAGATGGTTTGGGTAAGTGATAATATCGTATATATAACTATTTCCGCAAGATTCAATTTTAAACAGGTACTATTTTTATCTCTTACATGTCACTAAATTATTTGAGTTAAAATATTTGAACATGCGTTGAACAAGAGTTCGAACGTACCAACTTCACTATTTTGGTGTTTTGGACACGTTTCAATTTGAGTCGCAACTGATAGGTTTTAAGTAGACGTAACGCGCGTCATGCATACTAAGTTATAAGACATGTATTTTTTATGAGTTTTTTTACAATAAGTGGATCGATGTCGCTACTAGTGGACATTTCGAACCCAAAGATATTACACGACCAGGAATTGTTTTGTATATACTTGTATGATACCGTTGTTTTAAAGTTAATTGCTTTTCCTGTATTAGGTTTTTTTTTTGTAATTTCTTATATCTACCTTTTGCTTGTCAACCGATCGAGATTAATAATTGGGAGGGATAAGATCTAAAAAATAAACTGGTTTTACACCGTAACATATTCATTTACCTGTCCCAAGTCAGACACCTCGTCAGTTGTTGTCTTATGTCATATTTTTGTTTGTTATTTGGAGACTTTAGTGTTGAAAGCAGATCATTTAATTTATTCACAGCTATTTTAGAGCTTGACATATTGTATAAAAATCTGTCTATTGTTCAAGACTGTATGTTGATCTCACGCTGTCGTTTGTTTGATGTCTCATTGACACAAACACCACATCTCCTTTTATTCACATCTAATTTTCTAGAAGATTTTAATGATCAAACTTTTTTATGTTAGTAACTTCTAGATATTGAGGCGACAAAAGGCATATTATGACATTTAATTTTTATGCAATTTGTAAATCTGTAGTTCCCCCATTATGAAATCATCGTTTATTTCATGTTGACCCATCATTGTTCTTGTATTGGTACAGATTGCATAAGCTAGATTTGGCACAACTTTCCGGAATTTTTGGTTACTTATACTCTTCAACTGATTTGAAAATTTTACAACCAATAGATCGATGTCATTTCGTTTCGTCCCCGAGGGTATCACCAGCCCAATAGTCAGCACTTTTGTTCTGACATGAAATATTATTGATATGTTCAGTTTCTGTAAATGTACTGTTTATGCAATGTTGAAATATTCAGAACACTAAGGTTTTCTATCCCCAGGTAAAGATAACCTTAGTCGTATTTAGAACAACTTTCCGAAATTTTCGGTTACTTATACTCTTCCATACTGTATTTGATTTGGCTATCAAACTGTTTTGATTGAAGCGTCACTGATGATTTTTATGTAGACGAAGCGCGCGTCTGGCGTACCAATGTATAAGCCTGGTATCATTGATGAGTTTTTACAACCACTGGTTTGATTCAAATGCTGGTAGGTGTTTTGTCCACGAGGGTATCACCAACCCAGTAGTCAGCACTTTTGTGCTGACATAAAATATCATTTCGTTTTCTGTACATTACTGTTAAAATAAAATGTGGAAGTATTCAAAACACTCAAGTTTTTCTACCCACAGGTATCGATTGCTTTATCCGTATTTGATTCAACTTTTCGAAATTTTCGGATATTTATACTCTTCAACTTTGTATTTATTTTGGCTTTCCAGCTTTTTTATTCGAGCGTCACTGATGAGTCTTATGTAAAAAAAAAACGTGCATCTGGCGTTCAAAATTATAAGCCTGGTATATTTGATGAGTTTTTTATTACATCATATGAGTATCGTATGGTATTTCCGGAATTGGCCGCGCATGACACTCTATTCCATTACTGAAAAATGATTAAAGCGCAATAATATATATACTTTATCAAAACTAAATGGAACATTGATTAATCGTTTAAACCCGCTGCAATTTTTTGCACCTATCCTAAGTCAGGAATCTGATGTTCAGTAGTTGTCGTTTGTTGATGTGGTTCATAAGTGTTTCTCGTTTCTCGTTTTTTTATATAGATTAGACCGTTGGTTTTCTCGTTTGAATGGTTTCACTCTAGTAAATTTTGGGGCCCTTTATAGCTTGCTGTGCGGTGTGAGCCAAGGTTCCGTGTTGAAGACCGTACTTTGACCTATAATGGTTTACTTTTATAAATTGTGACTTGGATGGAGAGTTGTCTCAATGGCACTCAAACCACATCTTCTTATATCTATTGATAAATGCCTAACATTTGGGGGATTGGGCTGGAACTACTGCTTTTTCATTACATTAAAATCGATTCGCAGATATTTTTTTCATCAAAATTATAGCAACCATTTAATGATCAAGATTTGATTTACTAAACACAAAAATACTTTTTATTTTACCTTGGTCACAATATTATATAGATATAAGAAGATGTGGTATGAGTGCCAATGAGACAACTCTCCATCCAAGTCAAAATTTATAAAAGTAAACCATTATAGGTCACAGTACGGTCTTCAACACGGAGCCTTGGCTCACACCGAACAGTAAGATTTATCCAGTTTTTGAATATTTCAGACGGTGAAGAGAGCGATGATGAATCAATACCATCTATTGAATATCCAGAGACATGGGACACGCCTACAAAAGATCCCATTGGGCCTTTAAGGAGATACGTTACAAGAGGTAAAATATTCTCCATTATGTCTTCAAACTGTTTACTCATTATTTTATTTAATATCTTAACTGTGACATTTCTATTGGACACGCATAGTATGGATCGCAATAAAAGAGATGAATGAAAATCAGTCTGTGCTTACCAACCTATTTGTAGCCCTCCACTTGTTGCATATAAAAGTTAATTTATATAAAAAACAGTTCCATCAATTTTTTCCTAAGTCTAGGTTAGTCTATAGAAAGGTATATACTATGAAATTTAGAGCGAGGGGCTTGCCCCGAGCTCTTAATTTCATAGTATATACCTTTTCATAGACTATCCAATTTAGCACATATTTTCAACTCGAGTAATCTTAATTGGTCTATTGATAGTTTATTTTGGCTGACTACTTGTATCACAGGTGTTTGTAAAAAGGAGCTCATTAACGAAGTTTTGTAAATCTACTCACTAGTATTATTGTAAAATATGTGATTTCAAAAGGCCCTTCACTCCAGAATGAAAAGATGGTAGCTGCTGGTGTAAGTATGTATACTGATATAAAGCGGTGTTTTACTATACATGTTCTTCTTACATGGTAAGATGACAAAATAAATTGACCAAAAGCAGGCAATAATTAAATTGCAGTGGAAGCTTTACATGTTTTGAAAACATTTTTTAATTTCACAGTAAAACTAAAGCTATGATAAATTTGAAACATAGAGATAGTTTGTCCCCATAGATATAGTCTAGCAGATAGGCATTAAAAAGCAACTACCAATAGATCAGAGATTATAGGTTTTGTCTTTTGTGTTTTTTTTTTTATTATTATTTCAAAGTAAAAACTAAAAGATTTATCAGAATATGTTTATATATATATATATAGGTGGCACATTATCTTCAGACATAATCACAGTTTTTCAATTCATGACATCGTCCTGAACATGCATGAAATATTTGCCACTGGACATTAAGCAACCAATAATCAATAAATCAATCAATTCATGACGAAATAGATCACCTTCCTGAAGAAAGTTTAAAAAAATATCACCAAGTTGTTTTAATTTTCCTGCACAAGGTTTCATAGTACACACTTTTCTGTGTACAAAGTAATTGCATGGATGATACATTATCATAATTTTAAGATATCGTTGTACTCTAATCAAGGTATAAAGAACCATATGCATTACCTTTATTTAAATAATAAAATTTTCAATTGTCAAAAACAATTTTTAGATCCAAAGATTTTAATAGCAGGATATTTAAAAATCAACGTGGAAACTAATTACAAACTATTTAATTTAATTTGGAACACAGCATTTTATTTCAAAATAGCCAGTGGCAATTTTTGTTTTAAATATCTTGATTACGATACAATGAAATCTTACCCTTGTGGTCATTCATGCGTAGTTACTTAGTACATAGGAAAAGTATGTACAAATGTACTATGAAAATTAGAAGGCAAATATAAGCAATTTGATTGGACGAGAAGTTGTAAGTATGTGCTAATTTTTGTTTTCACATTCAGTTATTTTAATAAATTGTTTACTGCGAGATTTGATGCAAAGGTGGTGTGTGAAAATTAATCTTTAATGATTGCCTCTTTTCATATGTGAGTAAAATTCATCTTCCGTAAGAGTCTTTGATTTTGAATCAATATTCAGGATATCTATCACAAATGCTCGTTACGACAAATTTAGTAATCCCAAATACAAAAAGGTTGAACTGATTGGCTTTGGAGCGGTTAGTAAGCCTTCTTCACTGCAATCATATATTTTGGCCACGAGGTTACCTGATGAAGGCGTTAGCTCCTGGTTGACCCGAGGGTACAATCTTCCAATGGCTATTATTCAATATTGTCATGATTTCATTATGTAGTTGTCTATTAACTAAAGTTGCAATTCATTTATGCAAAGTTGTACTTGGACAACATTTGCTGTTTATTTAAGTCCATTATTTTTTTGGTTTTTATGATCTCTCTAATTTTTTGCTTTCCAAACTTTTGATCTCAAGCTTATCGGAAGGAAAATATTTTTGAAACACTTTTATTCGTAATCGGTATTAAGGCTTCAACATTAAACCCCGGCACATTCTTTTTGTGCATGTAGTTTTCTGCCGAATATCCTTCCTGCAATTTTTTTCTTTACTTCGTTCATTGTTGTACTTTTGAGCAGTCCGTTGGATTTCTTTTTTTATCTTATCGGGGTCTTTTTTTACCTTTCTATACGGTATATTTTACCTCATTGTTGTCGGCCCTACTGTGATCTGTAGTTGTTCAAAGTTTTGTCCTTTGTTCAGTATGTTTAGTTGTCTCATTGGCAATCATACAACTCTTCATTTTTATATTCATATAAAAGTGCGTTAGTATTCTACTCTTTTTAACGTTAAGACATTACCAAGTTGCTAAATATACACGTCAATTGTCTAATCCTTAAACATGACCAAATGTGAAAATTTTAAATGAAATTCATACACTTTTTTCGTGATAAAGTATAGACAAACTCGTAATTGGTAGAAACAACGAAGAAAACGACATTGATTTATGTTTACCAATAAAAAAAGATACCTTATTTATTCAGACTCACAAACTATTTTAAGTAATCATCGTTTACTTTGTGTTGTAAGCAAAACGGAAAACAATATATCCATAAAGATAATAGGTTAAAACTATCAGATTGTTTATAAAAAAAATTAAAAAAAATACTGAACAGGTATGTACATACTTGTACAATCCCTTTCTGCAAAAACTGTATGTGGTTAGAAACCTGTCTTACCTCCATATGTTGGTTTCATCTTTTGATTTTTTTCACCTTTTGTCATTTCTTTTACTTCGTTCATTGTTGTACTTTTGAGCAGTCCGTTGGATTTCTTTTTTTATCTTATCGGGGTCTTTTTTTACCTTTCTATACGGTATATTTTACCTCATTGTTGTCGGCCCTACTGTGATCTGTAGTTGTTCAAAGTTTTGTCCTTTGTTCAGTATGTTTAGTTGTCTCATTGGCAATCATACAACTCTTCATTTTTATATTCATATAAAAGTGCGTTAGTATTCTACTCTTTTTAACGATAAGACATTACCAAGTTGCTAAATATACACGTCAATTGTCTAATCCTTAAACATGAACAAATGTGAAAATTTTAAATGAAATTCATACACTTTTTTCGTGATAAAGTATAGACAAACTCGTAATTGGTAGAAACAACGAAGAAAACGACATTGATTTATGTTTACCAATAAAAAAAGATACCTTATTTATTCAGACTCACAAACTATTTTAAGTAATCATCGTTTACTTTGTGTTGTAAGCAAAACGGAAAACAATATATCCATAAAGATAATAGGTTAAAACTATCAGATTGTTTATAAAAAAATTAAAAAAAATACTGAACAGGTATGTACATACTTGTACAATCCCTTTCTGCAAAAACTGTATGTGGTTAGAAACCTGTCTTACCTCCATATGTTGGTTTCATCTTTTGATTTTTTTCACCTTTTGTCATGATTTGGCTTTTAATATCTTACTATACGGTATTGGTTTTGCTCAATGTTGAACGTCGCACGGTGACCAATATTTGTTTTCAATCTCGTTTGTTGGTTTGTTGGTGGAAAGTGGTCTCATTGGCAATCTTACCACATCTTCAAATTTTCATCAGATTTCCCCCTTATTTTGATCTACATAAAAAATCTTACCCTTGTGGTCATTCATGCGTAGTTACTTAGTATAGACGAACGTTCACCTAATCTGACCCAGTCAATGGGATATTTTAGCGCGCCAATCAATGGTCTCGGCTACACTGTTTTGCACATGATTCTAATACGAAATGAAATGAATCGAAATACTACTAAACAGAATCCAAACATATTCTTAACATTGTTTATTTTGTCTTATTGGCCTCTCTTGTGCTGCTTTAGGTAATGTACCAGTACCAGTTACCGTCAGAAATTCGCAATTTTCCAAAATATTTTTAAAAGGGACTTCGTTAGGAAGATTCTTGTACATGTAACATCAAAAGTTCACAGACTTGGACTTTAAATACTTTAAAAAACAAAAAATGGGTTATTGGTGTGGCTATATTTGGGTGAAATTTAAGGTTTCTAGGACCAGTTAAGTCACTTGAGAATCTAGTGCTAAATAATAGAAATCTCCTCTTGATTGGAATATTAATGTCCTTTTTACCATTTTGTGGTATAAGAGAAAGATGCATGTCAAATGGATCAAACATATCGTTATTTCTTAAATTCTAAACTTTTCTAAATTCGATTACGCTGAACTGATCGTAAGTTTATATCACTTAAAATCAAAATACATTGTATCGAAGTGGAGCCTACAATTGGATTTTTAAATTTATAAACCTTTTTTTATTCTCATGATAGAAATTTGTGCTCTAAAGCTTTGATATAACTGTGTCTAGACCAATAATTTTTCTAAAAGTCAAGGGCGTCTTAAAGTGATGACGTCATGTCTTCGCACGAGTGTCTTCCTACGACATGTAAAAACGGAAGTCGAGATTTCACACAAAACAAAGTTTTTGAAAATGCTATTAATTTGTTTGTCTGAAGATAATAGCAATATGTCGTACTCACGCTTAGTGTATGTTAGTGCATAAAATGATTGATAGCGGTAACTTGTAACTGACGGTAACTGGACCAGTAGAATTAGATATACTTAAATATCATTTGTTTTTACTATTTTATAGATATGATGTCTCAGACAGAACTTCTGAAAAAACTAAAGAACATAGCTTTTCGAGAACCAGAAAAGCCTCCAACACCACCACCACCACCACCGCCGCCAACACCACCACCAAAAACACCACCACCAAAATATATGCCATGGCCTTGGAGAACCGCTAAAAGAGCTTCTGAGAAAACTATGTATCAATCTGAATTTCCTATGAAAAAAGTTGGACCTGTCTCAGGTTCGAAACAGGATAACGGAAATTTAGCAGACTATACGATATCTAAATATGGTATAAAATATGATGACACAGGCATTCCCATTTCCGACAAAAAACTTTCTAGACAAGCAACAAAATTTATACCACCATCGAAATCCTTTGTAGGCATGTCTACGGAAAGTTCAGTTATCTCTAGATCAAACTCGCTTCCCTCTCTAAAAGAGTCTCAATCGACCCAAACTCGACCACCAACACGCAATTCTAGTCATGATGAGTCGTTCTATAGGTCTCAGTCAATGGAAGATATTCAGGCTACATCAACAACTGACCTTGACAGCCAGGTCGTATCGACGATAGATCCTTTATCAATGCAAGACATTCAAATACCAACACCAAGTACTACATTTAACTCTTTTGCCCCACCGAAGGGAACACAGTTGCTTTTAAACATAAACAAACCAGTCATAAACACTGGAGTAAGTTCAGCTTCTTTGACAAAAGATATACAGACACCTGCACTAAAGAGAATACAGATGTATAGAGCATTATCTACTGGGTCAATCGGAACTTTCTCAGACAGAACACAAACAGAAATATTGATGGAAGAAGAGAAGAGAATAAATGAAACAGATGGAGTAAATAAAACAGAAATAATAAATGATAGAGATAGACCCTCCATAATGGATAAAACAAAACAATATATTAAAAAAGTTCCACATTACATGTTTCCTATTAGATCAAATTCACTCACTAAATTTGACAAAAAGATAAACAAAAATCCTCTCTCCCAGACCCTACCACGATCGAAAACAGATATGATACCACTGTCTGACAAAATAAATAGACCGAAGAAAAATACATTGAAAAAGAAGAAAAAGAAGATAAAGAAAACTAAGAACAGTCCGTATTTAGACAGTCTCACACCAAGAGCTCAGCCTCCTATTGTAACGTTAAGCCAGAAAAAAGGGTATAACAATAAAGTTAAACCTGTTGACTCAAACAAGAAGCGAAAATCAAAGACTAATGCGAACTTTAACACTGGAAGTCCGTCAAACAAGTCGACAACAACAGAAAATGATAACACGCCAGGTATTATTATTCATGATAACTGATAATTACTGTTGATATGATACAGTATAAGATCCACCATAGATGCTAAAAATTTCGTTTGGGTTGTTTTTTGTGATATGAATTTATTTCAATATTAATGGATGACATTACACTAATTTAATGATCTTTAATGCTTTTACATAAAAAAAACTATTTCAATGTGCATGATACGTGTTTCTAGAATAAGGTTCGCCTGGTTTGATTAAGATCCAAACGTGGAAACTAAATATATAAAACGTGGCAGAGATAGCAATACCATGAAGGGCCTATGGAGAATATTCATATTCTTCTTATGTCAGTTTTGATAATTTTGATAATTGGTGTAAGCTTAGCACTGGTCAGACTTAAATGTTTGACTTTATCAAATACAAAAAAATATCAAAATACAAAATTGTGTCTTTTTCTCGTTATATATTTTTCCTGTGACTTTCTGTCCTACGTTCTAATTGATGTACCACTACAAAGAGTGCAAAATGTACATTCCTTATCCAACTCGGGTTAATGATGTTGTAGAAATACATTATACTTTATCTTAGACTGCATTCTGTAAAGTAATGTGCGTTGTACTCAATTTATTCAAACACATGTATTGTTTTTATGATCCATAAACAACAGAAATTGATTTGTATCTGAAAGAAAATTCGCAGATTTTTTTCATGTACTAGTAACGTTTTAACAAAGTATGCAATCATGTTACCATACCGGTCGCCCCCAGTGGCGGACCAGTGTAGAACAACAAGCGTTAACATCCGATAATTCCTTTTTGATATATTTTTAGTTCGTTTACTTTTAACAAGACCAGACACTCATAATGTTGTTTACATGGTAATAAGTACGTGTAAACTCGTATTGCTAGTATAATCCCGCTACACGAATATGCGTATGCCTAGGCCATAGAGAAACACATTGAATTTACTACGATTGAAATGCTTTTCTGTTTTAACCATTAAAAGGAATGTTTATTGGCCTTTTTTGGTTATATGGGTTTTTGTCTTTCCCAATTATCTCTATTTATTCATTATGATGAGTAAATACAGGAATGAATTCAAATACATTCATCAATTTTAAAAAACAGGCATTGTATAACACGTCAAAGACCTGCGTTTTCGTTTAGAAAATCATACCAAATTCATCAATCATTGAGCCTGTGTTATTGGTTGTTATGGTCTTCTTTTATCGTTTTAAAGTAGTATGTGATGATATTACAAAAGTAACTTTTGAGGTATCTGTCAATGAAAAAAAAAACACGTTTGAGACAATAGAAGAATTGTGTGATGGTATCAATTCTGCTTGAAATTGCATAGAAAAAAAAATTGCCCTTTTTGTTTCCAAACCTTTGTCATTTCGGATTTACAATATATGTTTTTTGCACCACTGACCAGAAATACCTGTGTTGTCTTGAAATTTGAGATACAGGCTTATTGCTAGATATAACATCACTGACATATGGATTTAATTACTTTATTCAAATAAGGATATAATATAGGAATTATTTATATCTGATGAGATGATTTATAAGCCATCAATAATCAGTCCACTTTTATATTCACATTTGTGTTATTTTATCCTCAACTATCTTGTTATATTTCAAGAAAAATATCAGCCTTCCCCAAACCTTGGAATGAAATCCGAAACATTTGTCAGAAAACAAGAAGACGCTGAGCTTATACCAGCTACAACTGACTTTTTACATAGAATGAAATCCTCTGCGACAGATTTTCAAGGTAATCTTTGGAGGAAAAAAGTAAATTTCATTGATTTATTTCTGTTTCTATAGATTGATATCAACTTATAGACTAATTGGTTGAATACTAATTAATAAGTTGTTGGTTTAAAAAAAGTATATATTTTCGTTGAAAAAAATAACAATTTTATTGCATCAGATGCACATTTCGAAAATTCATGTCTCTTCAGTGATGATCAAAGCCTAAATATATGAAGTCCAAAACCTTATACAAACGTAGAAGAGCAGATAAAACCAAACAGGACCAATGGAAAATCCAATCAAGGACAAGGAACCAGAGCTATGCATGAGGATATTCATTCCTTAATTTAAAATGATTTCAAAATTTTATAACAGCAAATTTAAGTAGAACAATATCCGTATTTTTATCCCAGTACCGAAGTACTGACTACTGGGTTAGTGATATCCTCGGGAACTTACAGTTCACCGCACAGGTATCGACGCAGTGATATCCTCGGGAACTAACAGTTCACCGCACAGGTATCGACGCAGTGGTAGTAAAAACATTAACGGTACCAAATGTATTGCAATTTAAAATGTCTCTTCAGCGATGCTCGAGGCCAGAATATTTGAAATCCAAAACATAATACAAATGTTAAAGAGCAGATAAAAAAAAAGACCAACGTTAAAGACGAGGAATCATAGCTATGCATGTGGGAGATACATTCCTTAAATTATTCGAAATTATATAACAAAAATAGAACAATATCCTTATTTTCTTGCCAGTACCAAAAATCATGACATTTGAACGAAGTATTACACTTACATTACAAACTCAACTGGAAAATGGTAAAAAGGTTATTGTTTTACTCCTTTGTGTAGTATGAATGTGAAAATGTTTTAAATTGTAGATTCTGGCATATCTGCCGATGAGTCATCACTAGATAGACAAAGATCGTACTGTGCTACTAAACTTCCAAGTATAACGACGCACTCAGAAGTTGGCAATAATGAACAACAGAAAAATGATGAGCAAATTAAACTTCCTCACCTTGAAACAAAACAGAAGAGTTATGTGAGGCCGTGGCGATAAAGTTTCTGATAGTGTATTCCGAAAGAGAGAAACATGAAGACGAAACTCTTCATATTGATTATGTTTGTCTATTAGAAATGTTTTGATTTGATAAAAGAACTAGAAAAAATTCAAAACTATTGATAGAAAACATTAATGTCATATTTGAATTAAAATTTATTTACATAACAGAAACCAGGTAAACTCTATATTTGAAAAGAAGGTATATAAAAACAGGTGTTTTACTTAATCCTACGACATTTACATGTTTTAATCAGAATTCGATATTCTATAAAAAAAAACCTGCTATATTGATCTTTTACAGATATTTTGCACCTACAACACAGCAGTATTTATTCATCATTGGCCATTAAATATTTGAGTTTAAGCGTTCTTGATGATGGTAAATCCAGTAAAGCGCTTCAAACGTACGAAAGTTATAAAGTATCATTTTCATTTACTAGTACTGGACCGATACTTTTGCTGGTAAACTGCTAGTCCCCGAGGGTATAATTAGCTCATAAGCCATTGCGTCAGTACTAATATGATTTATAATAAATCGATGTAACGATGTTTGCTCATACTTGTACTTCTATGTCTGGATTCAAATGGCAAGTGATGCATACATAGTTGGAAATGAAACACTATCTTGTCAATGGATCCGTTCTCGCTCCTCTTAGAGTTCTTGCGACACCCGCGGTTGTTTGTATTTTCAAAATGAATTAACGCTATTTGAAGATCGGTTAACTACTGTTGCATCTTTTTGATTCTCATGCTTATCGTTATGAAACAGGGGATGCTGGCGTGCACGTTGAATTGGTTTAATCGCAACGCCTGCACAAAGTGAGATTATTTGGACCATGAGTTGTTCCATGTTGTTTGTTTTTTTACGTCTTTTTCTATGAATCGGGCGTTAGTGTATTGTCCAATAGTTATGGCTATTCATTTCATTCTTGTTTATCTTGTAGTAAATAAGTCTCTGGAGGGATGTTGCGTCAGGATCGAAGTTGTTAGTATGCTGCTATCAGTAATTATCGTACTAGTAGATGCTTCATTTAAACAAAGGGGATGAAATCAGGGTTATCTATCCGGTTCTGAATTGAAGCCTTTTGTAGTTAATGAACTTTAAATAAGCCTAAAAATATGGGGAGGCGGATTTACGTAACGCTGTAACCACATTTGAAATGGAAGACTATCAAACTAATAAATATAGTTTTTTCCTCCATTGAATTATTCTCTCTTGCGTAAAACAAAATGCTGAGTATAAGAACTTATTCCTTTAGGAAAAAAATTTATATCAGACGAAGTTATATCCATCTAATGAAAACATCATCCCAGAAAAATTGGCCACGAAGCGTAACTGAAATATAGTAATAATAGTAACCTTTCTTAGAAGTATAGCGAAACTGGTGACTGTGTTAACATACGTGTAACTTCATTAAATGGAAGGAACACTATAACAATTAAACTTTATTTGTGTAATCTATGTCATGCTTATTCAGGATGAGATTAATTTGACAATGCATTAAATGGTGGAATCTGACTGATTGACATTGAGAAGGGGGCATTGCCTCTGAATACCAAGGGAAAAGTTTGTAAGGTAAAAGTTCTGATTTACAATAGATCCCATATAGACTATTGTGAACAGTAAAAGTACAGGTTTTAAAACTGAGCGGGCTGGACATCCTATCAACATTAGCTATCGAGTTGGTAATAATACCACAACTTATTTCAATACTCATATAGATCGATCAGACATGTTTGAATTGAACAGATATGCTTTTATTGCTATTCTTTATCTTGAAACTTGCTTCCAGCAATAAAGAACACAGTATAAGATTAATACTCAGACTCAAATTGTTTCATTTCCCTGTACTTACTTCCGTTGTGTTAGGACTGGGAACAATCAATTTAGTTTTGGTCTCAATTTTTCAATATTTTCTATTTTATATCATATCTTAATGATGATGTTATTATAAGATTATATTTTTATAGTTATGGCGTATTTATTCTAGAGATAACTTCTTTCATGTACTTCATTTTCTCGATTTCAGCCAGTTTGTTTATTTAAATCATTATGCAGGCTACCCGAATAATGTGTCCTATTTTGGTGTTATTTCCTGCTAAGTTATCTTACATATATTTTGATGTACCCTGTGGTTGTCTAGATGGTTGCATCTTTTTCTGTATCTTACATAGCGAATGTCGGACTATATATGACAATATTTGTTAGATTTCTTTGTCACAGAGAACAGATCACAGTAAGGCCAATTTTCCTACACCAGCGTAAATAAGGCCTCTTCTACTTCTACTTCTACCACTAAGTGACCACCGTCATTAGATTGACTTTCCTGTCACTGTTTGGTGTGCCCGCCTGTACCAAGTCAGGAATATGACAGTTGTTATCCATTCTTTTGGTGTGTTTGAGCTTTTGTTTTTGCCATTTGATTAGGGAGTTTCCGTTTTGAATTTTCCTCGGAGTTCGATATTTTTGTTATTTTACTTTTTTGCATACTTACAAGTCCAAAATAATTTTAACAGAAAAGAAAAATGAGATTTGTGCTGTACATAACATTTATACATGGTAAATTGAAATTTAATATGCATGCAGTAATCTCTTGAACGAGTCAAGACTTTCTGCCGCGGTCACCGAGACAGGTAAGATGCTCCAATCTCTTATCGGTCTTTGGTAGAAAGATTCTTTCCTGATGCTAGTCTTGCAAGATGGTATATGGAAAGAGTGAATTTTGGTATGTCTTGATAATCTATCTGGTGGTGTCAGTTTGTCGCCAGCATCAATCTTTACTTCCTCATTTGAAATTTTGTATAAGAGGGTGAGTCTAGCGTTCTTTCTTCTCCATTCTAGTGTTGGCCATTGTAGTTTTTGTAGCATAGATTCAACTGATGATGTGTTGTGGTACATGTTTGTTACGTACCTTGCTAAATTTCTTTGTATCATTTCTAGTTTATGCTTGTCTTTTTGTAGGTGAGGATCCCATACCGAACTTGCATATTCAACTGTCCGTCTTAGTAAAGCTGTATATGCTTTTTCCTTGATCTCACTGTTTGCTATATTTAAGTTTCGTTTAAGGAATCCTATTGTCCTGTTAGCTTTTTGACAGATGTTGTTTATATGATCACCTTTTCATAGATCAGATGTTATGGTGACTCCCAGCTATTTGGCTAATGATACATGTTCTAAGTTGTGTCCATGGAGAATGTATTTTTTGAGTATTGGTTCCTTCTTTTTGGTGATTGGCAAAACTACACATTTATCGAGATGGAACTGCATCATCCATTTTTCTACCCACGTGGCTAGGTTGTTCAGGTCCTTTGTAGACTTTTGCTTTCTGATGAGACAGTGAGGTATGCAATGGTGTCATCTGCAAATAGCCTCACCGTTAATGAAATGTTGTCCGGCATGTCATTGTGTAGAAAAGGAAGAGGCTTGGTCCCAGTATTGATCCCTGCGTGACCCCGGACTCTACATTTATGATGTCAGACTTCTCCCCTTCCATGACAACGCGCTGTGTTCTGTCAGAAAGAAAACCTTTTATTCAAGCATTTGTTTTTCCTTTGATTCCATAATCATCAAGTTTATGGATTAAGAGACTGTGGCTTACTTTGTCGAAGGCCTTCGAGAAATCTATGATGAGGCAGTCTGTTTGTTGTCCATTGTCAAGGTTCTTTGTGATGTCGTCAATGAACTCCACTAGTTGTGTCTCGCGTGACAATTGTTTTCTAAATCCATGCTGCATTTTGTAGAGGATGTTATTCTTATCTGCACGATTCAAGTGGCAGGTGACTATATACTCCATGATTTTGCAGCAGATGCAGGTAAGAGATACAGGTCTATAACTGATGGATTTAAATCGTTTGCCTTTCTTAAAAACTGGGCTTACATTTGCTGTTTTCAATATCGATGGTACTATTTCAGTTTCATATGATCTTCTATATATCATTGTTAGGATTGGTGTTACTTGTAATGCCATCTCTTTTAGTACTCTAGGTGTTAAGTTGTCTGGGCCTGCTGCTTTATGTGGGTTTAGTGCTAATAGTAATTTTTTTTATTCCATTTTTTGTGATGATTATGTCTGTCTATGTCGCTGTTTCAAAGTTCCCAAAGGGTTATCGTTCTATTCGCCATATATTTGATCTGTTGAATACGATTATATGCCTGACCCTTTAACACTTTGCAATTTTTTTAATATCATCCTCGTGATTAATCGGTCGCATTTTTGCTGGACCCGTTAATAACTATTTTAGTATCATACGTTGCCACATACTATAAGTAATTATCTGTAGAGCCGAAAGGCCGGTTGAAGGTGCTAATAGTTATTATCGTGTTGTTTTTGTGTCATTGCGTATCTTATTTTTCAATTTTATATATATATAAGTTTCTATTAGTGATAGCATTATTGGATATTCAAAATCAAATTGGACACGTCATGATTACTAAACGTATTTACTGATAAGGATCTCTATTTTAATTCAACAAAGAAAGTGCCTTCCATATTTATTTAACGGTGATCTAATTAATTATTGACATTTGATAAACCGATTTAATTTGTAACATATGTTTATTGTTCCTGCTCATTTACTCGGGGTAAAAGCTAAAACATAATTCTTTTGTTTCGTCGTTAATCAGTCCATTTACCTTAAAACAATAGAAAAATCTAATCTTTACCGAAGGGAAATTATGGTGGACAAAAAATGAAGAATTGTTTATCTCATACGATACTGTATGTTGTTGTCTTTTCAACCACCGGTAGGTATAGTATTTAATTAATAGACTTGTTTTATAGATAAGATGCATAATTTAATCAACTACGAGTGGAATATTAAACAAACAGAAGATATTTGAAAATTAAAATACAAATTAACTTTTTTTGTGTAATACAAAGTTTCCCAAAAGCTGCAAAATAAACTGTTCCTTAAATCAAAGTATAACAAAACAATCAACAAAGAAAGGAAAGAACAGTCCAACGTTAAACAGGTTTATGCCATTCCATAACTGCATTGAAAGAAAAGTTCACTAAATACGCATCATCTCAACAACACAAAAAAAAAACCTAAATAAATTAATTTTGAATTCAAGATATAGTTTTCAACAATAGACAGCACCTGGTGTCAATCTATAAATCTAAATATTCCTGTTTGGAAAAGTGGTAAATAAGTTTAACAGAGACAAATAAGATAAAAGATCTGCCATCACAACAAAATTACCTTAAGGTGATATGGGGTTAGAAAATAAAAGGTATAGCATTTTCTTAAACTTTGTACAGTTGATCCTTACAGTATGTACATTGACAATATAGAACAAAATTTGGGTCACCGGCTATTTAAGATTGCAAAATACCATTATATTCTACATAGACGACAAAAGTAGTCTTTTCCGAGATACAGACTTTGAAAAGTTGATCTTTAGAACGAAATCTAGCTAGAATTAAAGAAACAATTTTAGGACAGCAAGTTTTAGTAAAAACATGTAGGTTCCCTTGCTTTTCTTAACGCAATTTCTACTTTTCTCCCTTGGCCTTGTCTATAAATTCTGTTCTTATATATACTTGTCTTGTAACAGCGTAGAAAAGACTTCTTAGTTCCTTTTAGGATTTTTTTGCCCTTAGTATAATGCAGAGTGCATGGAGTATCTAGTAATAATAAATATCGGCTGCACAAAACGACAAATCAGGATAAGCTATACTCTTAATTCTGAATACTGTGTTGCGCCCTAAATATTTAATGGTGTATTGGAAAGAGAATTATGAGCTTATTTTTCCAGCCTATTTTTTTATAGATATATAGGGAGAATTACACCTTTTTCGCTACCGGTTGTATTTTCAATAAGAAATAAATGATAGAAATTTCTCATATTTTAGATATGAAATATTACAATTATAAGTTTGAAAAAACAATTATATAGGTCACCTCGCGTAAATGACAAAAACATATTAAGATATGAAAAAAGACCACCACCAACGAAACGAAATTCCCGATTTAGAATAGGCACATGAACATCTGAACTATATTTTTATATCAACTCGCCCTATTTTATTCTCAATAAGTGGACTGACAAGAGTTACATTAAAACATGCAATAAAGATCAGTATGGGAAAAGCCCTCAACTCGAAAATACCGATATAATAGATAAGAAAAACACAAGTACAAACAAAACAATTCTATACCATTTCAAAGAATGCTTGCATTTACTGAAAACAAAGACCAACGTACTTGACCTGCATTCCGTCTCATACTTTAATATTGGTGACTAGAACTTTATAGAGGACTTCACACCATACATCAACGACATACAATGCACAGGAAGACGCGACCTAGTACCATGCTTAGATTAAACTGTACAGAATTTCAAAGCAGGAAAAAAACTTTTTAATCTTGCTTCAAACTATAAATTGGCCAAATTAATAGTGTTCACCTCTTAAAAAACAGACGCATTGATTGAACATCATAACTTTTCCTTTATCAATAAGACTTTTTAGCCAAAAAGAAAGATTTGGTGCAAAATTCCTTTAGTAGATGGCTTTATAAGTAAAATTTACGTTTAAAGCATTATATGACATACCAAGCTATATCCTGCAAGCGGAATCATACCTCATCAATATATCTCTATATTTAACATTATGATCAGTTTGTATTAGCTATTCACCAGCTTTGATAATTTTCACTAATGAAAATATAACGTTTATTAAAACACGAAACATAGTATAAACACGCACCTTTACAACTAACTAAGGACTGTACATTCAATAAGAAGGAGCGAACGGAACACACCATTAAGGAATGGGATGTTAACAAAGAAAAAAAAAGAAACTTCGTACCGCTTATCATACATTTTGGTATGAACATTACCATGAAAGATTCTTCTATATAAGTTCTCAAAACGGACATCATTCGATAATTGTATATTTAGAAAGTGTGAACTGCTTTATAGAGAATATACATTCATGTTTTTTGCTCTTTTCCTCTTTTTTTTATACAAAAATTACCTAACTACATGTCATTTTGTATCATCAATAGTTGTAGTCAAAAATCAGTCCAAAAAAAATTAATAATGTAGATAATAATTGTGTTTGTAATTCAGTAAACGGATGTACATTTGACAGTGGTCTCATTGGTACATGGAATAGTAATGCATTTGGAACAATCACCATAACCAGTACTACACTAACTTTGGGAGAACATGCTTTCCAGATAAATAGTCAATCGTCTACCGACTGGACATGTTTTAATGATGCTACATCTCCATATATTATATTGCAGTAAGTATAATACAAAGTAAAACGCTTCAGCTGATAAAGCCAGCTGGCGAGCTCTTATTGAAATAATAAAATAAAACGCTTCATCTGATCAAGCCAGCTGGCGAGCTCTTATTGAAATAATAAAATAAAACGCTTCAGATGATAAAGCCAGCTGGCGAGCATTTATTGAAATAATAAAATAAAACGCTTCAGCTGATAAAGCCAGCTGGCGAGCTCTTATTGAAATAATAAAATAAAACACTTCAGCTGATAAAGCCAGCTGGCGAGTTCTTATTGAAATAATAAAATAAAACGATTTTTATAATGTCAAAAAGTTTAACGGAACATTATATTTATATAAAAAGTTAAGTCAATAAATTTTCCTTTTCAAGGTAAGTAGCACATTTTGTTCAGCTTTAGAACATTTACTTTCTAATTACAGGTCGGAACTTTTTCCTTTTTTTTCTACGCCATCGTACGCTTATATCTGTATGAATGTTCAAGCAGAAAATTCCAACAGTTATTATTTTTATATGCACTCACGTAAGTATGAACTTTCGCCAAAGTAATCCTTTAACTAAATTGTTCTTCTGTATGCATCTAATATTAATGATCAATCAAAATACGACAATAAGAAAAGGAGGATAAAACATACTCTGCAGTTGTTTTTCTTAACGTCAATCAAACTATTGAATCTCCTTGAGAGATTGAGGGTTCGAACTCCAGTCGAGTTAATCCAAAGATTTGAAAAAATAAAGTATGTGCTACTTCTTCGCCAAGCACGTGATATTAGGAATAAGACCAAATGCTGGTCGACTCGAAGACAAAGTGTTGGAGGGTTTAGTACAAAGCAGAGTTTATATTCATATCAAATTAAAATTTTCTTGTCCTGAATATGCATGTGATATTTGTTACTGGATGATAAACAACTATCCACCGATCAATGCTTTTTTTCAAAAGTAAAAATGAATAACTTAATTTAACCACTAGATCTTGCAATAATGATAAAAAGAAAGGAAAGACATTTCATTAATATTGTTTTGACTCTTGGTTGTTTAATATCTAGTTGCAAATATGTCATATGAATACTAGAAAGTAAAAGCTGATATTTCTTTTTAAATACAATTAAAATTACATCTGTGATTTCTCTATGTTTACATAAAAGCCAAAATATAAATCTGATTTAGTTTATACTGATTTTTCATTTTAGCTACAAATAACCAGTTTTCTAACGAACGTATAACTGTTTATGCTGCCACAGCAACGCCCGGGAATCCTGCTGCAGCATTATGTACAGAAACGCCATCTACCGCTGAATTCATTAGCATGGTTAACATAGGTATAGTAATTATTTACAAGTTTAACTTTTCGAAAAGGTATGGAGTGCTTCGCAGTATCAAATGTTCGCTCCTCTTGTTTTTGAATTTTTGCAAGATATTCAGAATGCTCTGGTTTTATCCATGTAGTGCCATTAAAACATTTTTTCCCGCAAACCCCTTCTTTTTATATTTTTATTACATATAGTTTAAAAAGCCGTATTGAAAATCTTATAAAATCCTTGTTGTATTTTCATAGTTTTTAAAAGAAAAAAGGTGCCAATGTTAAATGTATGAAAAATCTAGAGAGAATCACTTCCCGCCAAATATTCAATGGTTTAGATCTTGAAAACAAGCACACCGACCCTTCATTTTTTCCTGCTTTTTTAGTTCTTTAATTCATATACGTTCAATTTATAACAGTCTTTTAAAAAGCTTGTTATTTTGAAACAGAGTAGCGAACATCCTTAACGTCAGCTTTTGTTTTTGTGGTTTTTGTGTTAGTTGTTTTGTTGTAAAGTGCTGATTTAGACCCCAACATTCTAAATTGTATAATGTGATATTTTAACAAATAAATATCTTTTTATTACATATCGGTCAGCATCGAGTGAAAGCATAAGTGAACAGAGCTTAAAAACGTTTGTTTTATGAGGGTCTGGATGTGGTTTACAGAATAGAGAACAATGGACAAAACATGCAAAATAAAAGGCAAAACAAATAAAAAATAGAGACAATAGGTCTAAAATATTAAAGAAAAAAGAAATGAAGACCCATCTCATCCAGACCCTATTAATTATATGTAATGACTAATGATATGATATTAACACCATACGCATCATTCATGGGAAATAATGTGAACAAAACTAACCGTGTTATACAGATTAAAGCAAATGAAATGGGTAATAATAAATGTATCAAATTTTGACTATGAGCGCTTATCCAACAATATGTGATCTTATAGCAATACACATACTGTCAGACTGTATATAATTTCTTCTCCCTTTCATGACGTATTCCCAATTTATAACTCATCCAAGCCCATATCATCTTAGCCACACTAATAAGCAACTGATCAAAACTAGTTGTAACAGTTGTTTGGTAATAATTTCAAAATGGCGTGTATATCGACTGAAACTAATAGAAGCTTTGCACCGTGATGCGTGGCAACAAGTATTACTATATCATACCAATTGAATATTGAAACATCATTTACAATTTACTAAGTACTCCTAAACTAATAGAAATATTAAAGAAATAAAAGGAGATGCTATGTTTATGTTAATGAGACAGCAACCCAACGACAAATAAGTCAAAAAGACGTCTAGAGGTCAACATACGACCTTAACCAAAAGACTATATGTTAAGCACTAAATTGACCAAAGTCTGGAGAAGTTTTGTATAAATTTAACAGATCAATCAAAGATCTGCCATCAGTATCGACTATCCTATATGAAAGAAAACCATCATCGAAAAAAGGCAAAGAAGAATTAAAAGAACAAAACAAAACAAAAGTAGTTAATATACATTGTACATCTAAAGACAACCACTAACGATGCATCTGGATTGGGAAAAGGAACATGTATAGTTAGGGGGGATAAGGTTGAACTGTGGAATTAAAAAAAAATGGATAAATGAGTTCATATTCAGTACAAATGGGAAAGTTTAAAACAGTTTTGAGACATAACTCAAAGTGTCAATTATTAAGATGGTGTTCTAAATTTGATTTTGACCAGTTTATACAGTCATAGCTCTTTAAATAGATTATTTTCTGCTGAGGAAATAATGGTAATCGTTTTTAATATTATAACTTTCGTTAGTGTGAACTGTGCATCTGACATCAACACTTTTGTTGCCTACACTTTTGAGAAATTAATTCCTTAATTATATTATAAAAGGGTCAGAAGAAAATGCTTTGACCGATTGTCCATACCCTCTACACAGAAATTTTACCTACATCTTCAATGAAGGAAGTGGAGACAAGTGCACTACAAACAGTTTTGTATCTGCCTGTCCTGGACAACAAGAGATGAATTTTGATTATACAAAATGTGTTGAGTCTATTGCATACTCGTGTAAGTAAAAAAACAATAATTCAGAAAAACTATCATGCATGATGTAGAAACTCTCACTTTTACTGATCTCCTTATCGTTTTTTCTCGAAGATACCAGTCTTAAAGTTTGATACGCAAGAAGTGCGTTTCGTCTACGCAATACTCATCAGTCGCGTTCGAATGAAAGGACATTACAATCTAAATAAAGTTTAAGTCTGATATTTGTTCTCCACGTTTATTAAACTTACTTATATGACCATACCCCCCTTTCTCAAAAAAGAAGAAAGAAAAACAAACAAACAAAACAAAAACAAATGTTACAGTGAAATATTTGTTAAAAAAAAACCCAAAAGACAAAAACAAACAAAAAACTCAAATACTGTATTTATGCAAATAATCAACTGCCAAAAGGATTTTTACTCATTTGTAGTCATACCTATCCCTTATTCACAATTCTTTTAAATAGATGTTTTCATTAAATGTTAAGTAATGTTCATATACTTTTGCAGCTGAAGGAAGAATTGGCTGTGTTGCCACTATAGATGATGGCTCAGGCACTCTGTACACATCGTTGTATAATTTTGATACCAGTGTAAATGGGTTAACAACTTTTAGATTTACATGCGCTGTACGTAAGGTTATAATAGCTTAAATACGACATGTATCAATTTCATGTACACCAGTTGAAATGAGAAGAAGGGGAAAAATTGTAAAAAAGAAATAGAAAATAAGCATCTGCACGATCAAAGAAGTAGAAAATAAGCTTCTGCACGACCAAAGAACTAAATAATGTATCCGTTCAAGATAAAATGCAGAATTGAGCAAGATCTGCTTTCCCTTTCAGAGACACTTGAGATCACCATCGGTTTTTTTGTGGGGTTCGTGTTGCTCAATATTTAGTTTTCTATGTAGACTATGTAGAATTTTGTGGACTTGGTAGTCTTTTCGTCGTTAAAAAAGGGATAGAAAGACATAGTATTTATCATTCTATAACTAGTATTGATTCTCTATATGTTTTTCTAGGGGTGTCATTTTAACAGGACGATAATCTATCCAGAAAAAAATATTTCATTTTCATAAATTATTTTGCAATTATCATGTACTGAAATAATAAATTCATTTGAATGATAACTGTTATTTTCAACTCAATTACATTCTTCACGTTTAAAACTTTATGTATGTTAATTTTTTTTCCACAAAAGGCTGTTCAGGGTGTGTCGTCAGGAGATGTACAAGTTAGTTATGCACAAAAACGATGTGATGCGAATCAGCCTTACAGCTCTATACCTACTAATGGTGCCCTACTGACACTCACACCTAACGGTAAGGTCAGCAAGTCTGTAACTAATCCAATGTGAAATCACAGTCACTCACTGTAGTTGTTAATTAATACTTCAAAATCACTGGAATTCTGACGTCTGAATACATTTAATATAAAATAAGAAGATGTGGTATGATTGCCAATGAGACTACTCTCCACCAAATGACATAGAAGTTAACAACTATAGGTCACCATACGGCCTTCAACAATGAGCAAAACCCATACCACATAGTCAGCTATAAAAGGCCACGAACTGACAAATGGAAAACAATTCAAACGAGAAAACCTGATGTATATACAAAACAATGAACGAAACCAAATATAATATACAGCAACAAACGACAACCACTGAATTACAGGTTCCCGACTAAAGACAGGTACAAACAGAATATGGCTGGGTTTAACTAATTTGTTGGCGCCAACTCCCCCCCCCCCCCCCTAACTGGGACAGTGGTGTAACAGTACAACATAAGAACAAAATATAATAAATCAGTTGAAAAGGGCTTAACTCATCAGATCGATACAAAGCAGAAAAAACAGATCTAACAAAAGATGGCAGGGTATTTATCCATCCCGACAACAAAAAAGACACTTTGTACTGATCTGAGAGTATGCAGATGTATCTAAGACTAAAATATTAATCAGTACACATCCAACATCCAATGGATTTAGTGTAAAGACGTCATTAACAGTCAGAGAAAAACATGTCCTAGTGCAATGCCAAGATACAAGTATCGACAGATTGTAGAACCGTGAATGTGCATATGTAAATTACAATAATATTTAGTTTGGTTTTAATTTTCTGAAAACAAAATCAATATGTATACCAATAAAAACAATATTCAAAGATCTTATTACAGTGTTTGCATAGTAATATCCAAAATATGCAATGTAAACATGACCCTGAGAAATTTACCAATCGACACAATAAACCACAATGCATTGTGGACTACTACGAGTTAACTATGCCTACTTAGTATCACATAAGAACACGTGGAATTTGGTTGAAAAGTGTCATTTTGTATTGAGTGTATCTCGGAATCTCATGTTTACATTTTTTCTTCATGTAATGTACTACATAAAATGTATATAGCAAACTCTTTGATTTGCATGCTCAGATTTAATATATATTGTTCACCGGCCTCAGCATTCGAGTTTGTTTTCGTCTTGTCAAAGTAGTAAAGAACAGGTATTGCCTTTTGTTATGAGCTATAACTGTACCTGTACATTCATTTCAAGTGAAATTAAAACGAATTGACCATTGTCCAGTAAAACTCATTTGTAGTAAACCCATTTTAAAGGATCGAATTGGTTATATGATTTTGACTGCTCTAGGAATGTTCGTATCGTGTATTCTGATGTCTTTCCAAAAACAGTGCTCTTTCATGAAGCACGGAGAATACGGCATAGAAATCCTACTTGATATCAAATATTACAGCCGGCTGTAAAGCAGTTTTATACGAGAAAGAAACATAATATCTGCAGTGGGTGTGTTGATTTTTTGGCTATATCTGCTTTGAAATAATTACATTAGAATTTGTATTCAGTATTCAGTATTCTCAATAATTTTTTAGGGCTTTGTTCACATTTTGAGAATCCAAGAGTAAAACAATATTAATTTAGGATGAATGATTGAAATTATATTCTCATTGACTAATTACAGAGACAATAAGTATGTACAACAAAACAATGATAGTGCAATGTTCAGGGCATGTGATAACACTAGAAAACATTTTCTGAGGGCGTGCACCATTTTGACTTTTTGGGGGACAATAACCGTTTTGTGGACTTTTATTAACCTTTGGAATGGCAGTTGTAGGTTAAATATTATAAAATCTATTCTGTGTCAAAATTAGAAAGATTTCATAATTTAGAAAAAGATAGATGTGGTGTGATTTCCAATTGGACAACTCTCCACCAGAGACCAAATGACGTAGCCGTAAACAACTATGTGTCACCGTACGGCTTTCAATAATAAGCAAAAACCATACCGCACAGCCAGTTATAGAAGGCCCCGAAATGTTAAATGAAAAACAGTTCAAACGAGAATACTAACGGCCTAATTTATGATAATATAAAGCAATAAACGACCACTGAATTACCAACTGATTTATGTGTATCTATTAATTTCAAAATAGGTTCACATTGGAACTTAATACGATTAAACAGCTATAAAAACAGACGAAAGTGAAATAATTGTTACGCAATCTCATATCTAGATGCCTTCATTATAAAATAAGAAGATGTGGTATGATTGCCAATGATGCAACTCTCCACCAGAGACCACATGACACAGAAGTTAACAAGTCTTCAACAAAAAGAAAAACCCATACCGCATAGCCCGAAATGATAAATGTAAAGCAATTCAAACGAGAAAACTAACGGTCTGATCTATGTACAGAACAATAAAGAAAAACAAAAATAATATACAGCAAAAAACGACAACCACTGAATTACAGGTTCCGCATTGATATGGATTAACTATGAAACATAAAGCAATACCGGTATGTTGTTTTTGAACTAGTTCTTTGTCTGTTATTTATGTCACACGGGAAAAAAAATGGAATTACAGAAAAGGCTTCGTTCTTTCCGTACCTCGATATAATTTAATGTTCAAGGCTTCGTGTCATTTTCGGCATTGCCAGCGTTTTAAAATGATTTATTTTGAATATTTTTTTTCCACTTTTGGCCTTTAAGAAGTTTAAAGTACAAACGTACCCAAATTAACCTCTATCTTACGCTTTTATACATAAACTCTGACCTTATTTATGACACAACTAAATCATTATTAATCACTCCAAACAATTATACACATCTATTCATTGTAGAGGTAAATGGAGATGATTGGTATAAGTCATTGAGAAATCAACTCAATGAATTGAAAAAAAAAACAAAAAAAACAAAAAAAAAAACAAAAAAAAAAACAAAAATCAAAACAAAAATCAAAACAAAACTAAACTAAAATATAAATAAAAAAGATCAAAAGGTACGTCAACAATCACAAAAAGATTTGATTACTATGGCAAACAAAGATCTGAAAACATCAATTATAATGATTTTCCTCCTTTCGCTCATCGTTGTGACTTGAAGTTCTTTTATCGACCCCAAAAAATGTTGATATTGTATATATGATAGAAAAATTTCTGTTTCAGGTACTTGTGGTAAGTAAATTTGAAACATCTTACTACCTTGTTTTAAGTTAGGATATGGTTAATATTTTGTAATTTATCAGAAATACCTGCTTCTTTCATGAAGGGTAGTTCCATGTTATTATCATTACTACAGCGTAAAAAATACTTATGCTATCAATCTGTAAGCTAAACGTGGTTTTAAAACAAAACAAAAATTTTAAGATTTGCTTTGTATTTTTTTATTTTTAAGCCGGGTTGCGAAGCGACAAACCCGGCATAGTCGACAGTAATAACAGAACATTCAGTATAATAAATTAAATAACACATATCTGAGAGGGTGATAGAGCAGATTGTTACCCCTCGAAAAGACATTGTCAACCTTGGCTTTGCCTCAGTTGACAATGTTTTCTCGGGGTAACAATCTGCTCTATCACCCTCTCAGCTATGTGTTATTTATATAATGTTGAATGTGGTTCAGCCGGGCAGTAGTATATTGTTTCTAGATATTTTGTATTGTGTCATCTTTTAAAAAGTTATATAGATATTGTCTAAAAAAGAAGAAGCCCATGATTCATTTTGAATACACAAGGGTTTTTGATGCCTTTCCTTTTTATCAATTTTAAATGAATAATACCCCTCGGAATGAGAAACCCCTTTCCCGATTTTAATGTCACTAAGTAAACCTCAAAATCATTGAAGTTTAATATATTCCGAAATTGTTTTGGAATTTCTAACAAGCATCTTCCTGTTAAATCTTTTGTGGAATAACCCTTATCCCTTATTTGTACCACTAAGTGTTTCCTTTGTGAAAAAATGTTATCACTATTTCCAAAAAAATATTTAGAAACCACAACAACAACTGAAGAGGCAACAACAACTGAAGAAGTAACAACTGAAAAGGACGAAACAACAACGGAGACATCTACAACAACAACAGAATCACCAATACCCATTTTAACAACAGATAGTGTTAATGTTGGTGCAATTATTGGCGGAGTACTAGGAGCCATATTGTTTATAATCCTTCTGTTGTTACTAGTTCTGTATTGCATACATAGACAAAAAGTTGTTGCTAAGCAGCGGGCCATCATCGACCGAAGACTTAAGTTGTTCAAAATAAGACAAGCTCAAGGCTTAGGTAAGTTACACAGCATAAGTTCTAAAATTTATATTTCTGTATACTGAACTTACAAAATAGACATCATTTATCAACTATCATGAAAACAAAAAAGAAGTAATTTAAAAATAAGACGATGTGATATGAATGCCAAGACAATACATACTACCAACCAGCACCTTCAATAATGATTAAAACCATACCGTATAGTAAGCTATTAAAAAAAAACGGCATGAAAAAATGTGAAACCATCCAAATGAGAAAACCAATAGCTTGATTTATGCTAAAACAATACAAAAAACAAATATGACAGACAATAACCAACGACAACCACTGAATTACAGGCCCTGACTTAGGACAGGCACATAAAAAATGTGTTGGAATAAAATGATGTGATTGCTCAATTCTCCTCAAACCTGGAATAGTGGTGCAACGGCACAACATAAAAACAAACTGTACAATCAGTTAAAAAAGGCTTGACTCATTAAATTGACATAAAGCACAAAAAAAATAATAAAAACAACTAACAAAAAAAAACAACTATATAGTCGTAGCGACATAGATAGATAGAAAAAATTGTAAACTAAGCATGATTAGAAAGTTGGTAAAATCCATTGCATTAAAAATTAAAGATAGGAGGATGATCTAAATGGTAAAAATTGAACAAAATATATTAATTATCTGCACAAACTGAGCACTTACACTAATTTCCATTCCATGACTTTAAAATATTTTTAAAACTGACTGAAATTAGCCATTTTTAAAAAATCATCAGGTAGATTATTCCATAAAACAGCAGCTTTATATTCAAAAGAGTTCTCACCATAGGTTGATGTTCGAACCCTAGGTATATCTACAGTATTAGAATATATAAAATTATATTTACAATCTTTCAGTACCACTAAATCACGTAAGCATGGTGGTGATAATTTATATAAAATTTTAAACATTCAATAGCCATGTTACGCATACGTCTAATTTTCAGTGATGGAACCTTTGCTCGTACAAGTAATCCATCATACGTACTACAATGTAACAAAGTCTTCATATATAAATCGTAAAACCCTTACTTCAATTGTTTCAAATTCAGTGGTATTATTTTTGTTGAAAAAATTCCATGCTTAAGGACATAAATTAAAATTAGATGTAATAAACGTGTGAAAAATGGTCAATTTATTATTATATTTGAAGATAGCAACCAATGCGCTTTTAAACATGCTTTACGACAAATGTTTTTAATGGGGTGATTAAATTAATTTAATGATCAATATCAATTTCTAAAAGTTTGAAAATTTCATCACATGATATTTTAGCTGACTCAGTGTATATTAAAAACAGGCTTCTTCGAAAATGTTTGATTTCAAACTGCAATAGCTTAGATTTTATCAGAATTTGCATGCATACAATTAAATTTAAACCAATCAATTATATCAGAACTTTTTTTTCAAGTATACATAATAAATTTTCGAAATCATCTTCAGCATATGACAGAGTATTATCGTCAGCATAATTTTATAGGGTTCCATGTTCCATAAAATAAAGTATATCATTTATAAAAATGTTAAATATTAAACGTCCGAGGGTACACCTTTCTGGATGCAACCCAACTGCTGAGTAATCAATGAAGTTTGATTTGTTGCCTACGACCTGTAAGATAATTTTGAAGTAATTTCATTGATTTTAAAAAAAGACCATAGGCAGATAATTTACGTACAAGAATGTCATGTGGTAGACAGTCAAATGCTTTCGAAAGATCCATAAGTATTTCTGCCACATACATATTTTTATCCAAAGCTCTTTTCCAATCTTCAAAGAGTCTCAGCAGAGATGTCAGATATCCATGACCTTTTCTAAATGCACATAAAAAAGCATGAAATATTTCAAAAAATTCAATTAACTATTTAGACATAACCATATCAAAAACTTTTTGAAATGTTCACAGGTTTGTAGTTCTTTTATCAAGTAGATCGTTTTTTTGTGTAGTGGTACGACCTGAGCTTCTTTTAATCTTTTTGGAAATCCACTTGATTCTTTTATTTATAAGTCTTGTTATATCTTTGTTAAGTACTTGTGTACCATCTTGCAATATGTTAGAAACTCCTGTACCTTTTTTATATTGATCTTTTTCACAAGTTTGTCTGCAGTGTCAACATGTTGTGTGTTAGCTTTAATTTTCAAAATACTAGGGTGAGTGTGTTTTTCAAAAATAGTACCTTTGCCTATGTCATTGGCAACATTTACAAAAAGGTGTTTAAGTTGTCACAAACATTTTGAGTTTTTTTATTATCTTCCACTTGTACAATTTTCTGTTGGCTGCAAGTAGAATTTGAAATGATTTAACTGTACTATAAAAGATTTTTGATTTTTGTCCTCCATCACATCTTTCTTGAAAATAAATGATCACAGATTTTCTTTTTAATTTTGTAACCAAATTTCGTTGTTTTTTATATGCTTCCAAAGTTTTGTTTGTTTTGTATTATTCAAATTTAGATCATAAAAATATTTGTTTGTGAAAAATAGTTTTTCTCAGTTCTCTGTCCATATATGGAAGTGAGGTTTTCCGATAATATCTGTACTTCATGGGTGCATGATCATTAATTAGCGACTTTAGTTTCAAAATCATTATATACTTAGTTTATATCACCTATACTTTCATCTGAATCATGTAAAAAAAATAATATTATCAAGATCATTAATCACATTCAGTGATATGCTTTGATACATGAAATTACACAAACAAGTATTGACTTAGTATATGTAAGAGAATGATAATCCCTTTCTTCATGATTAAGTACGAGCGTTAGCGAGTACTTATCATGAAGTAAGGGATTATCATTCTCTTACAAACTTAGAATATTGTAAAGTGCTCAAGGCTCAATTGATCTCTTAATTGGTTGTATCTAAGAATTAGTTTTATTGTCAGTGCAATGTTTATAATTAATGCATGACTTCCTTTTTAGGCATTTCATTTATGGATTAGTTTTAGTGATGTAAGGACTTTCTTATTATTTGGGAAATATTTAAAAAAAATGCGTTATACATATAAGGTGACACAACAGAACTAAGAAAATGTAGGAATTGTATATGTTTCCTAATTGTGAGTATGAATGTAAATCATGTAATATTTTAATGAGGAATTGTCTTTTTTTTTTAATTTACAGTTTAAATCAATTGATACATTTGAGTTACAAATAGATTTTATTTAACAGCCAAAATTTTGGTCCGGCTTTTTACATCAAATACTATTTCATTATGTCAGGAAAATGTTCATATAAAATGCCTTTAAAAGTTTTTAATATGTTCAACACTTAAATTAAATTCCTGGTTTTTTTTTTATTTTATCGAAATATTGGAAATAACTATTCTTCCCAACCGCTGATCCAGTGATCAAAGTTTTGGAAAGCTAAAGATTAAGGTATTTTTTTTATTTTAAAGCTTTTTTTCTTTTTTTGCAAATGATTTTATATATTTTTTAATTATTTAGTAATTTGAAGTTAATACTATTTTCATAATAATACTCACGGTACCAATTTTACTGCACAGTAAACTTTAACTTATTCTGAGTTTTTTGTTTGTTTCACAATTCAACTTTTAGTCGGTTTCAATCACTGTGTGATAAATCCTTTCAATCTGATAAATGTGCTTCGGGGCAGTTGTAACTCATTTATAGAAAGTCTTTGTTTTGAACTGTAAATAGACCCACATAATAGGGATAATCCCTTACTAAGAACATGATTTACATTCATTCTTCACAATTAAGAGGCATTAAATCCTACAATTTCATTGGTCGAGAGCACTTTGCTATATTCTAAATACTGATCAAAATTTCATGTAGTGAGTACGTCGTGTAAATAAATATAATTGTTAAACAACTAAGATATACGAATATCCAAAAACTCGTAATTAGTTTCAGATCTGTATGTTTCAGACCTCATTCATTCTAACCAAATTAAGATCGATCGTGATCGTTCCAATCGGTTTAACTTGTTTATATAATATTATGAAAAGATCGATGGCGAAAAAAGTCAGTTCTGAATTTGACAGTGTTGAAAAATTCACGTAGTGTGTTCATGTTGTCATTGCCTTTTAGTTAGGACGCGTTACCATCGATCAAAACACATTAAAACACATACATTAAAATGTATCAAGCTTTAGTAACCAAACCGATTGCAATGATCGATCAATCATAATTGAAGACGACAAAATCGATTATAATCGATTTTAAACGTCGATTTAAAGGAGAAGAGAAGAATCCATTAATCTAAAAATAAGAATATGTGGAATGATTGCCAATAAAACAACTATTCACATAGTAACAGGTCAGGTCTTCAACATTAGACAAAACCCATACCGAATAATAAGCTATAAAAGGCCTCAATATGACAAAATGTAAAACAATTCAAAAAAGATAACAAACAGTCAGATTTATACAACAACAGAGAACGAAAACACATGATACAAACATCAACCAACGACAACCACTGGAATACAGGTTCCTGACTCGCGATCGGGAAAGGCACATGAAGAGCGTCGTGGGGTTTACGATGTTAGTAAACACACACACACACAAAATAAGACGAAGACAAAGACACAAAGTACCGACCTAATTGTACTGGTAGTTCCTGAAAGCTAGTTCAATATGGTTTTTATAAACACAACACAATTCAATTCAAAACATTTTAAAGTATTTTATTGTTCAAATATCAAATTTAAAAAAGGGATTGGGCAAAAGGCACAGCCTATACAAATCCTTTCCCATACAAGATGAATTGAATAATGTGATAGTATATGATATATTTCTGATAATTTGTAGAATATTCATTATTGCAGTGAGTCACGGGAGGAGACCCTCTTTCTTGAAATTTTTGTTTGTGTATGCATATATTGATTGAATGATTAATGATATTTAACGCCACTTTCAGTACTATTGGCTTTATCGTGGCAGTCAGTTTTATCGGTGGAGGAAGCCGGAGTTCCCGGAGAGAACCACCGATCTTCGGTAGGAAAACTGACAATCCTAGTCAATTTAGATTTGAGTCGAACGCACCTGCTACGTGCGGGGTTCGAACTGACAACCTCAGTGTTTACAGGCAAGTGATCACTGTAGATGAATTACTTAAGCCAACCCTGTCTATATGACTGTCATAAATTATTGAATATATCTCAATTCATTTTTGTGAACATGGTATATATCAGTGGTTAAAGATATAATTATAATATATTTGATTTTTTTAGACGACGATGAAAAGATTCTTAATGAACCATCGTTGGATCCGGATTTTTCACATTACTGGGAAGCACCTAAGCAAGAACTTATACCACCCGTTGAAAAGAAAAGTATAACAAAGGGTAGGGTAATTTGCTGTAGAATATACTCTTCAGATTTTAAGATTCTGAACCGTTTAATTGTAAAAAAACCCAATCAATAAAAATATTGTGATATATTCAATAAATGTAATATTAGCATTAAATGTTTATCACTATACATCATATCAGGCTAAAGTACAAGGGCGTCATTCTTGTTTATGGAAGATCAAGTTCGTTGATTTGCGTCTGCATTAAGTTACATACGAGAAACGTCACTTGACCTAGTAGGTTACGGGACTGTTGCGAGTAAGTTGTAAAAAATGCTACTATTTTTTTCAGAATTTTGATAATATTTAGTGTCTAGCAAAATGGTTTAGCATTACAAAGGAAACAAGTCTACGTTTGCTATCTCCCTGTAGTTACGAGCACATTTTGACCCTGCGATGCCGTCTTTCGTTATCTTCTTTAAGTAAATTGTCGTCCTGTTGGTAGCTGGGCGGTGCTTTTTTTTTTTATTATAACCGTGTTCTCTACTTTTAAGACATATGGCCTAAATAAGTGAACGGGAAAATTTGTTCGTACGTAAAAACAAATACATTGACAAATAATCGCCAATTCTTCCCATGAAAATCATCTAAAATTTTTTTACCAAAGCAAACAGTGTAAATGAACGTTGATTTTTGCAACATAGCTTGAAAACAGGTACATTTGGTATTCCCTCTTCTTGTGGGAAAAACAAATGATCTTTATGGGAACAATCTCGACTTAGTTCATGTAATGCTGAGAGGAACTGTATATAATTATTGAATAAAATCACGATTTTCAGATATGATGTCACAAACAGAACTTCAGAAAGAACGAAAGCAAATTATTCCTCCTTTACCCGAACCTCAAACACCGACGCCAAAATATCTTCCGTGGCCGTGGCGAACAGCTAAGAGAGCTTCACATAAATCTGCTTTTCAGTCACAAACTGATTTGAGTAAATTTGGACCAATTCCGGAAACTACACAAGAATGTGCAGATTTAGCTGATTATACGGTCTCGAAGTACGGACTCAAATATGACGATACCGGTGTGGATGGTGTAAACGAGAAAATATCTAGACCACCAACAAGATTCATGCCAAAAACTGACCCCGACAGAATTATGTCTAGATCGAGAACAAGTATATTATCTAGGTCAAGCTCTGTTGCATCACTGCACAGGTCTCATTCATTATTAGACTTGAAAACTCCAACGCCAAGGAGAATACAGTTGTCTAGAGCATCATCGTTGAAATCCCTATTTACAGAAAGAACACAAACACATGTGCTAATGGCAATAAAGGAAAAGAAAGTTAATCATAAAAAAGAAATACCTTCGATTGTAAAGAAGAATGACACATCTGTAAGACCTGTGCCTCACTATATGTTCCCGATACGATCCAATTCATTGACTAAATTTGAAAAGGAACAGTTTCAAAATCCACTTGCAAAACCATTAAGGCGGTCATATACCCTTTTAAGACCAATGCCTAATAGAAATCACAAAGATAAGAACATTGAAGTTCGCAAAAAACCCAAGAAGAAGAAGACAAACAAAAAGAAGAGTCCATACACAGTAATTCCAATTCCTGTGCGACAAATTACACTCATTCCACTTACTCGAAAAAACGTCACGGACAACAAAGTGAGACCATTGAAAGCTAAACCGAAACACAGACCACCAAAAACCACTGAAACAAATTTCGTAGTAGAAAGTCCGTCTACTAAATCACCAAAGACTACTGAAAGTAACTTTACTCAAAGTCCAGGTAAAATATTTTAACTTGCTTTGTCTTTGTATTTTAACGAAAAAATAAACAAATATTTATTGTACAACCACCACTTTTAAAAGGTAAATTTACCACTAATTAGACATTACAAAACAATAATAGACAAATAAAAGACAGAATGTAATCAAACAGTCCTGGCAAAGTGAGCAGTTGATAAAATAAATACAAAATTATCCGGTGAAATGATTGTATGCACATATTCGACAGAGTCACGAAAGAAGATGCAAGAAGCGATTTGAAAATTACGATAGGATTTCCTAATTCACGTATTAGTATTTGCAAACTGGATCGACCGTTCACAAACAAAGTTAACTTTTTAGAGAGCTTTAAGATTGTTACTGGGCCATTGTTTTAAGGGGGCAAAACTGAATGTCAATCCTTATATTTTCATTTACATATGTTCTGTGAAAGCGATTCATCATTGACTACTATTTCAAGAGTGCTTCTGTAAGATCATACATTTGGTAAAATGAAGCGTTATTAGATGACATGCACACGTATAAAAATTGCGGTTTTTATCGAACGCAATAATAGGTTTGAACCTTGTTTTTAATTTAGACTTGTATATATATATATATATTTACAAGTCTAAATTGAAAACAACGTTCAAACCTATGATTGCGTTGGATAAAAACCGCAATTTTTATACGTGTGCATGCAAAACAAATTTCTTGTTAGAGGGGTCTAAATACAGCACTAACAACATTTTCCAAAAGACCAAAAAAGTGAAAAAGTATATTTTAACAAAACGAATTTGACTAACAGGTCGAACAACAAATGTTCTTAAACCCTGCTGACTGCCATTGGCGATTGCCAAATAAACGGATCACCGATGTAATAAATGGATCTTAAATATAAATTTAATACTAAACAGAAAACTAAGTAAAATATATAACTTCTCGTTGAACTTCTAAAACAACGATAAATCTGCTGATTCATATCGTATCATTCTATGCTGATGCTATGTGAAAAATAAAGAAATTTGACTTACCGGTATGCTTCCATTATATTCGGCATTGTTATTCAGTTATGTCCAAAGCAGAACTATTGAAACGCATGCAATAATTATTTTCAATAGATGCATTTGAATTATTTATTTTCTGCACTAGTTAACGGACGTCTTTCTGAAAATCCAACATATCATATATATAAGAATATTCCATTAGAGTTGATTTATGGAAGAGTGCTTTGAATACACCTTATTCCTATTTGTTCGCCATTACTGGACAAACGGGGGGGGGGGGGGGGGGGGGGAGGGGTGTTTCAACATGGGATTTTGGGTACAGTTGTGCAGCCGGGATTTAAAAAACACCCCTCATTCTTTTATTGAGTAATTGTGAAATCCCTACCTATACATATATTTCACAGCGAAATCATAACCCATTCATATATTTATCAGCTCAAAACTTGTGTCCAAAAGTTTCAGCAGATGTGGAAATTTTAATGACAAAGAGTTTGGGAAATTCAGTGAAGATCGTTGCACAACAAACTGAAAAATTATGACCTATTGATATATCCCAATTGGTCAATTACTACCTATTGATATATTTCCTTGGTAAAATTGCACCCCATTGATATATTTGACGTATCAAAAAAGGAACCCATTCCAGCGGCACATCTGTATTTACCTTCATATAGGAAGAGACCCCCCCCCCCCCCCCCCCCCCCAGTGACTGGACATCACAAAGGTTCCCATAAAATTTTGACGTCATAATACAAAATATTTGACGCCACAATGGAAAAGTGATTGTTGTATGACGTCAACGGTTCAAGCTGGACAGTTTCTCAGGTCAGCCGGGACAGAATTCCAAATAGCGATAAGGTGTATGGTAGTTATATATGGGTACTATGTTAAGGAGGATGAATTCTAATATATATACGTAAAATACCTGTTTGGTTTTGGAATAAAATACTGGATCTGGATTCCCATATCAACCGGCATCATTGTTAACGCATCTAAGTCATAAACTAGAGCCTTTACATAGTCAGTTCCATCTGCCAATATCACATATTATAAATACCTACAAATACAGGCGATAGATTAAACTCAGCACCATTGTATATTGATGATACATATAGTATCAGCTCATTCAGATTTGAAAATGTGAGCAAAATAGCAGCACCATTTGAAAATGGAAAACCTTGATTATCTCGAGCATGTGAATCAAACAAATAGTAATTATCATCACGACGAAATATACTTATTGTAAGACCTGATGATGTGAACAAAGTAGAATCGGATATATCAAATGCAGTTCTCAGTGCTGTTGACAATGACTGCAGATCGCCACTGTGTCCAACAACTCCAAAGAATAAATCATCATGTACGAGTACATACTTTTAAACTGTCTACCCCGAATGGAAACATCATTTGGGACCTCGCTGTGTGGCAAGTATCTTGGGTTTTCAAGAAATAAGATGCGATCATGTAAATTGGTGCCTTCAATAATAATTCCATCTATAGTCGTAGACGTCCAGCTAGAGGGGTCATTAAATTGAACATTGTAAAAAGCTAATATAGCAACAGCTGCCACTATAGTGCACTGAAACCCTTGCCCATAACTATACCGTGATGCTTGGTGTATGCTTCCTTGCACACACGAAACCATATTGCTCACCTTGTTTGTTTGTTTTCTATTCTTGTAATCAGCTGTTTATCAATCGTCTGTTTTGTCTACATCAGAAATCAATGACGCGACGAAAGCGCGGGAAACGAAAGGACATCTTCGTACCAATACGGTAAATTCCGTGATTAAAATATTTTCTAATCAATATGTCCAAGCAATGAAAAATATGAGGATAATATTTTTATTCATAGAGCACACGTTTTGTTAATTTACTATTTAAAATAATAGTTTATGAAGAAATATAACAAAACACTAAAGCATCAATCAACCGTTTCAATACGCACTATAAAGTGTAGATTATATGTATTATTGTATTTTTTTTGAAAGAACATTAATGATACATAAATATACACCTTCGTACTAAAATTGCAACATAATTTCAAGATAACATAAATTGCATTATCACAGAATGATATTATTTGCACCAAATTGATACGATAGCAATTGAACACTTCATAATAAGTTGTACCGATGACCTACTATCATGATTTTTATCCGACCTCACTTACGGACGCGTTGACATATAGTGCATACAACTCAATAATACCCAATCAGACGTTAAGATATCCTTCACTTCACCCAGAAGCAGCCCGGAAGCAGCCGGGAAGTAGCCATTTAATGTTATTTATAACCAATGAGATACCGTTAACAGATTTACCACATTCCAGACGTCCAGCCTTTCACTAATCAGACCGGATCTCAAGTGATCCGGTAATCAATTATGTGGAAAACAAAAGAGCCTGGAATGGTGTAATTTTTAAACAACACTATTTTCCTATATTAGTTATATATGAAGTAGGATTCTTTGATTCGTCGTTTTACGTCATGCCGGCTAACAAATTGGACCTCGTTATTTTAGTAGTATAGATGGTTTGATACTCTATAAGTTATACATTTTTCGACTTCCCAAACCTTTGGACCTCATCTTACTTGTAGAAGAATATTCCTGAAACACTAAAGTCATATACTACGAGTTTATTATTTTTCAAAAGAGTTAAACATATAATAGAGGAGAATATAATGACATACGACAACCTTTTGTGGTAGAAAATTCCCAGGTATTACTAAGTACATGCAGTCTTATAACCCCCTTCAAATGTTTACCAGGCATTATTTCATCAAGCATCAGTTTCACCTATTCATTTATTGATAAAGTTATTAATATTTTGAAAGGGTTGAAACATTTTACAGTTTTTGCGATTTAGGTATAATGGCTTTTCCAATACCTCCTTTAGGTCTGAATCAGTGATCGAGATCACATATTCTGTACTTTTGAAAGTTAATTTGTGAAAAGTTGAAGACAAAATTAAAGATTTATTTTGTGCATTATATGCCAGCTATCGAATGAATGGTGTTCGTTTAAAGAATTACCATATGCATAATGTGGCACTGAATCAATAATGTCTGTGTTCTACCGTTCCACCACAGCAGTAAAGCTCTTCGGGCGAACTAAATTAATAAAGTTTTAATTTTATTCAGAATGAAATTTGAACATTTCATAATGGTTTGCGTTGTTTTGTTGCACTAGTATGTTTTATCAAAACTTTGTTTGTTAGGATTTCTGCGGTCTAGCATTGTCCCCTTGACAATTGTCTGCTTTTGTACTTTATAGTCAATTATGAAAAAGAAAGAATATGGTTGAAAATTGATTAGACTGACTATAATTACAAAGCAGATGCAACTCTTTTATTGCTGTTCTTCATCTATTAGTTGTTTTCAAATAATCACGTTCTTATTGCTGCCGTTGTATTTCAGATACTGTTATTTCTACTGTCAACACAGAAACACTAAATGACAGCACAGAATATCAGACCATTTCTGACGCAACACAACATGCTAATAATACTGTAGAAAGAATAAAGGCAGATAATTCTGAATTACAGGGTAATATAATTGAAATTTTTTTTCTTCTCTAAATAGTACTTTATTTCAACAGGAGTAATGAGATTATGTATACTTCTTTAAGAACAAACTTAGAAGAGCTTTTCCGGTTTTACCTTCATCAGGAACGCTCAAACCTAAATAATTCAGCCAGGATGTGTAAATACGTAGAAACATCGTTAGCTATAAGACCAAAAGGAATCTAAAGGAATAGCCAAATTCATGTTAGGTCAAATCTGCCGGATGTTGTTGAGAACCTTAGTTTCTAAATCATTTCTTAATTTATCAACGGGGAATTTTAGAATAGTATGTTATAAATCATGTCATCACCAAAGCATTAACTAAGAATTTTTATAACAGTAAAGTTGTACTGATATATCTAATGTCTATCTATGTAGCTAATGTGATGATAAATCTAAAATTCTTAGAATAACCTTATTTGTGCAAAACAAATAACAAGGTTTGTCTGTTTTGAGTGTCATTCTCTTTTTCTCTGGATTTGTATGTTTGAGATGTCATGGTATTGGGTTTTTGTTGTGTGTGTCCTATCTGTTTTTATTATTACGAACCTTTATTTCATCCTCTTTAAAAAAAAACCGTTTCCGTTTTCTGTCCCTTCCCTTGTTTATTGTATGTCTTCTTGCAATAGTCTCTTGTATCTAAAATGTGTCTGTCAGGATTTCCACGATCTAGCGTTGTCCTCTTGTTTTTGTCTGTGTTTGCATTTCAAAGCCAAGTATGAAAAAGAAAAATACATATATGTTTGGGTTTCAATGTTCCTGCTGAAGGTAAATCCATAAGAGCTCTTCCGACACACGAAATAAATTAAGTGTTAATTTCATATACACGATTTTTGTCTTGAAGTTCGAGTTCTGACATTCTTTTTTATACCTACTTTCTGAGCTCAGTTAATACACATTTATATCCTTTAAAATTTTATAGATTCTGGAATATCAGCAGATGAGTCGTCTCTTGGTAAACAACAGTCGGAATATGAACAGAATACAAGAACGGAAAATGGTCAAACGTCTCCTCATGACTTAAATCAGAATGTGAGAGTAAATGAGCAGTTAAAATTACCAAGTATAAAACTACCTCTTAAACAAGACTCTCGTGTGAGTGAGAAGGATGGACAACACAAAGAAGAAGTACTAAAATTACCACATCTCCAAACAAAACAAAACACATCTACACGTCCATGGCGGTAAATAGGAAAATCACCTCGTCATCAAATATTGCTGGAACGGTATGCCGCTGGTTGTAAATCAGGATTATAGCATTAACTCTGACGTAAACAAGTAATAGTATCTAACGTAATATTACAAAGGATTGAAACATTATTTTGTATTTTGTCTTGGTTAAAAGAGTTATATATTATAAAAGCGATAGAAGATACATTCAATTATAGATTAAACCATACTTTTTGCGATTGAATTTAATATCAATCTTTAAATCTAATCCAATCTAATCAACATCTGATGTTGACTAGTATGTTTTCATTATGTATGATAAGGGCCTGTTATACCGAATTTCTGTACAATTTGCGGTGGATTTGTATATCCATTATATTTCTTTAATGTTTTATTCACAAGACATGATATCATAGGACAACTTATTATATATTTTATATCGTTATAACAAGTTATAACTCCATACTTAATTGGGCTTATGCACAAAAATTTTTCGGTGTATACTATGAAAGGGTGATAAAACTTATATAAAATTCCAGACTTATTATTTAGTATGCTAGACGCGCGTTTCTTCTACATTAGGCTAATCATTGGCGCTCGAATCAAATAGTTGGACGGTCAAATCAAATAAAAAATTGAAGAGCATTGTAAACAAAAATATCCCAACCGTTGTGACAAATCTGGTAAAGGCCATCTATGCTCGGGGTTAAAACATCTTGATGATTATAATACATCAACATTTTATTTAGAGTATCACTGTACCAAAGGTATTTTATCACAGCACAGAAGTACAGATTACTAGGCTGTTTAAACTCTGGGAACAAAACGCTCATCAGTAGTGGTATTGGCCATGTGGTTGTAAAAACTCATCTAAGATACCGAGCTTATAGTTTAGTATGCAAACACAAGTTTCGTCAACTTCAAACTCATCAGTTGTTTCATGTAATTAGGCATATTGGAGTTCATGCGATGACCTCATTTTTTTGTAACCTTAATTTGATCTTCTTGATCGATTTATGAGATTTCAACGGTGGTAAACTAGTTAAGTTTAAACGTATAGCCAAATCAAATACGAAATTCAAGAGCATAAACTTGATTTTGTTACAAACTTATTGTGTATACTATCAAGTATGAACATTGACTTTGGCGACATACTGATTTTTTTATGTCAAAACATGCGTGCTTATCTAAGATTTAAAATATACAAAAATGAGAATGATAATCAATTAGTTTGTAGTGCAGTTATCCATATAAATGTATGAATTTCAAGATTATATACGTCACAAAAATACGTCACTTTTTGTAGCGTTGATCCATTCGATGTGACGCGCAGTTTGTGGTGTCCTGTGCTGTCGTTAATTAATGGGAGATGTCCGTTGTTATTCTGCGGTTTACATGTTGTAATGTACTTTTTTATTATTTATTTGTGCATTTCTCTGTGCTGAGTGTCCTTGCGTTTGTTGGTACTGTATTCCTGTCGCGTAGTGTTGTCATTTTAGCGATATTTTTTTAACATTGCCATATAAGCAGGAGGTTTGGCTAGCCATAAAACCAGGTTCAACTCACCATTTTTTCTTAAAATGTCCTGTACCAAGTCAGGAATATGGCAGTTGTTATCAAATAGTCCGTTTCTGTGTATGTTGGCGTTTGTTTTGTTTTTTTTGCAGTTCCGTGTTTCTGTTGTTCCGTTGATTTCCTCTTTTAGTTGATGTGCTTCCCTCGGTTTTACTTTGTAACCCGAATTTGTTTTCTCTGAATCGATTTATGAATTTTGAACAGGGTATACTACTGTTGCCTTTTTATTTATATATAAGACTGCACGTTTCAATTCACATTGTTTAGCCTTAAATGTATCTGCGCGGAGTCGGCTGTTGTCCACGAGCAAACATATTTCATATGTAATTTCCAGATGATTTTGGCATGCTTAGTGGTCAATAGTTTAGTGAATTGAAATTTTGTGATCTAATAGCGATTCTTGCATGCTCTTGATAGATAGTTTTATGAACTCACAATCAGTGGACATATATACAATATAGATACAAACACTTGTTTGTATTCGACGCATGTGTAATTTTCTGTTTTCTTAAAACTTAAAGTTTTCTGTAAAATATTAGATATAATTATAAGAATTGAATTCATAATTTTAAAGTTTAATCAAAATCATTAACCAAGCTTACCGTATTAAATTTAAAATGAAAACACTAACGATTGAAACACTTTATTTTTTCGACCCAATATTTCAAAAATACTGTTTCATATAGTTTTAATCTAAATTCCATGATAAATGTTTTCCTGCATGTAGATGTTTCGATGCAGTAATCATCTCATTTATACAGATTCAATGTGATTAGACGAAGATTTACTTACGGTATTGCTGGAATAATTGTATTCTACTCACTTTAACAAATTTTATTCGGCCAAGACATTTTAGATTTGTTTTGAAACTTGTTATGATAAAACAATGAAATGTCATGAAGATAATTCTCCTCTTTTTTAAGTTCTTAAGGTGATTATTTTTTTTTTTTTGGTGCTCAAACAATTTCGATCTAAGCTAGGCTAGTAATTTTAATGTTTGATGGCCTTGAACTATATATTTGAACTTTAACTGCAATAAGAAGTCTTGGTTTTATTTATATTAAAAAGAAATAAACCGTATTTAACAATTAGCATACATATTCGATTCAATATATTTTTTTCTGAAAAGGAAAAAAAAGTGCTGTCTCAATTTAATTTAACAGACAAATATAAAGATAAAATAAGATTTGCACAAATCTGTTCTATGATCGGGTTGTTGTCTCTATGACACATTCCCCATTTCCATTCTCAATTTTATTTTTTACAGAGTTTGTCTTTAGTGCCGTGTGGAGACAGTAGAGTGCCTCCCCGTGCTTCAGGTTTATGCTCTTATAATATACTAGATTATGGAGTGTGTGTCCGAGCGAGAACTTCTCTAGTTCATTACTTTAGGAATATGTATCAAAAAGTAGTATTTCAATATTCAGCCCCATTCTATTATTTAGTCAGGCGTCAGTCGCTACCCTGATATACCCTTTCTTTTTCGGGTAATTAATACGGATAGCGTTTGACATCTTTAGCCGAACAGATTTATCATTTTTACATAATTTAATTCATTGTATGCTGGTTCATATTCTGGACGCCAGTCTTTGCTCCTTTCTAATATAATTCACAAACAAAAAACAAATATGAAGCTTAGAAATGGAAAAATATTAAATACTAAACTCGTTCAAAGGGTATCTACACGTCTCAATCTTCAAAATCGCTTATCTAAAAATACTACCATCGCTAACTTTTTTAACAATAAAAATCGTGGTTACCCTTCTATCGATAAGTGTCATGCCAAAAATGACTTACATGTCCCCGTCTTTCCACCAACTATACGGTAAGGTCCACGTTTAATGGTCGCACATTTTCTTTAAATTTTGAAACTGATATAACTTGAAAAACAAACAGTATTATTTATTTACTCACATGAAACAAACCGGGATGCGGTTTTCAGTACGTAGGTGAAACTGGACGATATTTATCTAAACGCACTCAAGAACATCTGTATCGTTTTAAAAGACCCAATAAATTCAAAAGTATCATTTATCAACACCTTAAGAAGCACAATCATCCCATTAAATATTTAGCAGTTCAACCTTTAGAAGTAGTAAATAAGCAGCCTGGTGAATCTCATTCAAAGTTTGTACGATCACGGAAAATAATTGAATTAAATTGGATTAAAAAATTACAGACAGTCTACCCTCTCGGTCTTAATGATAATATCATGGGGATTGGTAATATATCAAGAACCAATTCTGTTAACATTTTGGATATAGTTTATAAAACTGTTCGTAAAAACCGTTTCATGGTCGTAGAAAAAATCGCAATCAAAGAAAATTTCGGACCTAATTTCTATTTCAAAAAACAACGGCAGACATTATCTGTTAACAAAGCTCTGTTCATTACCGGTTAATAAGTTAAATAAAATTTTAGAGGATTGCAACACAATTTCATATAGCAGTCCTAAGTATGAAATCGTTCAAATTATAATGGCATATTGTTATTCTAAACTGTTTCCCAAAATTGATCGCCCTGAAGATCATAAAAAACAGTTTATTAAAATAAAGTATGTCAATAAAGGTTTTGATTTTGTAAATATTGCCGGTATTTTTAACGACCATTCTGTTAAAGAACAAATTCCGGGATATTTTGATAATACTGAGCTCCCTCTTATTTGTTATATTTACAAGAAATCTACCCGGAAATTTGTGTTTAATTATAGCCAATTGTGTAAAGATGTTAATATCAGTGAAAATACACCTACTTCATGTAATTGCAGTAATTCCGAATACATTTATGGACCCATTTCCCATGTTATAACAGGAGATCTTAACATCGTTAAAGACCGAGAGTTAAAATCATTCCTCAGTAAAGGACCTAAATATCGTCCCCCGTCAATTATTAATTGGAATGAGTGTCGTAATATCATCCACGACTCACTCCATACTTACTGTTTGAAATGGATAAAACGGGAAAAAGCTGACAAAAAATCTTTAGACTCTTTTTTTAATTCAGTAATGAACATAGTTGATATACGTATTCAACATTTTAAAGAACATTTTACTCTTAACAATAACCACAATAAGCCTATTTCTCGTATCAAACATAAACTAAAAGAACTAGCCAAGAAATTTGTTTTTGTCCCGGCCGATAAAGCTGCTAATAATATTATTATTGTTTGACGTAAATTTTACATTGAGGTTCTGAAAAAAGAAATCACCAATTCATCAACATTTCAACTGACTCCATTTTCAGAAAACGACATCTGTAACAAACATAAACTTTTAGCTACCGCTTTGCAAGCAGAACCAAATACAATGAAAGTCCCAACTATGTATTGGCTTCCGAAGCTACACAAAACACCTTACAAATATAAATTCATTTCGTCTTCAAGCCATTGTTCCACTACTAAATTGTCTATTCTTCTTACCAGTACACTTGGCACAATCAAAAACCTGATAATAAATTGTTCAAATAAGGCCTTTGGAAGTACTTGATAAATTGTATGCATATATTGGTGATTTTGAATCTGTTCAAAGTTTTGATTTTTCTACCCTATATACCACATTGCCTCACATTCTCATTAAGAAAAAATTCACACACCTAATTAAATGAGCATTTAAAAAGTCAGAATGTGAATATGTATGTTCAAACTCTTTTAGGTCATTTTTTAGTAGCAATAAACAAAAAAACTATGTCAATTGGACATGCTTTGATACTATATATGCCCTTGAATTTTTACTAGATAACATTTTTGTTCGCTTTGGAGATTCCGTATATCGTCAGGTTATCGGAATTCCAATGGAGACTAACTGTGCACCACTTATTGCGGACCTTTTTTTGTATCGCTATGAGTTACAATTTATGAAAAAAATCAGCAAAGACCCATCGAAACAACATCTGATACACAAATTTAATAATACTTTTAGATATTTGGATGATATTTTGGCTCTCAATAATGACGACTTCA